CCTCCAGGCTCTCCCAGCATTGCCAGTACCTGTTAAAGAGTCCATGCTGGCATCCTGGCTTCCTTCAGCTCTTCTCACCCAGACCCCTACACTAACCCTCTCCAGCTTGTGGGAGTCTCTGCCCAGCTTCTCATTCCTACAGAACCCTGCCATTTTGGCTATGTGTTCCCTTGGTTCTCTCTGTTCTCTTTTGGCTCTTGGTCCCCTCTCTGTTGGCCCTCTCTTCTCTCTGTGCTCTCTCTGTCTCTCTGTCCTCTCTTACCTCTCTTCATTCCTCATGGGCCCACTCAGTGTACTGCACGTGTTTACTCTAACTTTCTTTCCCTGCTCTGGACTATTCTAGGTGCCTCTGCCCTCCTTCATATCTACAATAAAACCTCTTCAACCATACTTTGGAGCAGTCATGTTTCCACTTTATATACTCCCCAATACCCAGGCAAATCGGTGCTTACAACCAATCTCCCTTCTTTTTTCTTGCCCCTTTAAAGGAAGACTTGCCTGTGAGGTGTGGGGCAAATTAGGCTTTAGTCTGGGCTCAGCAAATTTCAGCAAACTTGCCCTATATCATTCAACTGGACTTTTTCAGGTCTATTTGTCCTACTGGGATTCCAAATAAGAAGCACACTCAATCTGTTGCTAGCTAGCAGCATTCTGGTTGCCAGATGGACAAACGGAGGCAATAGTCCCATCCCACACCTTTCCTCACTAACCTCAGGCAGAATTAGAGCAAGGAGAAGGAGCAGTGTGCTCCTGAGACGTCAGAGAACTGTATCTTTATCAGCTGATGGGCTACTGTGGATTGAATAATTCTAAACAGCTGATACCCTTTCCAAAGGTGGAGAGGATGCAATTTAGTCTTGGCAGATTCACCCTCATCTTGACAGGGAATACTGGATTATAGAACTGGCCGTCCTGGGATTAAACATTGACTCTAGGACTAGGGTTAAATATTGACTTAGCTAAAGATCTACAGATGGGAGCAGAGCTGATGGTAAACAGCCTTTGCCCATTCAGTCTTATTTCATTCACCTTGCAAAGCAACATCATAGGGACCATCCCCTGCCAGATGTGAAGGACTAGAAGTTAGACAGCTTTCTGTTAGGCTGGTGTACAGAAAGAGGACAACTAGTCAATGATAAAGACAGCAAGTTTCCAGCTTTTTCCTCACACTCCTGATTTCTAAAGACCTGCTGCACCTTTGTACAGACCAAAGTTCAAGACTAGATCAGGACATGTTTATCCCCAAAGTTGTGGGCCTATTAGCCTCTCTGTCTTTGTTCAAACTGATCAATCCTAAATTTAGAGAGGAAGACCCTTAAATCCCTGAGCCTTCAAAAAGAGACTGGACTTCAGGCTACCAAGACCTGCTATGCAGGGTTTTTCTATCTGTGGGTCTTTCTGTGTCTCCCCACCCCTAATAAAGAGCCTTTATTCACTGGTTGACTCTGTTCTCTATGTCTGAGACTTTTCCTGCCTTTTAATTTTTTAGCTGACAGAGAAATATGAACTGGATCAAAACTTCAGGCTGGTAATTGGTGGGCAGTGCAAAGTGAGGAAGGGAAGTATAGTTTGGGAAAATCCTTCTCTATAAGATCTTTGGACAATCTGAAGTTTTAGAGCATCGAGCTAATGAATCCCTAGGGTTGGAACTGTGTGGGCCTTGACTTTCTACAATCCCCTGGATGGATCCCCAAGGGGTAAATGGAAAACTCCTGCTGGAAATGTAACTCAAAATATTCATATTAATGTGAAGGGTTTGGAAAGCACCAGGGGTGGGATAGCAGAAATCCAGTACAGGAAGATCTTGAATTTAGCCTGTCTCTGCTATTTCCTATCTAGTACTTTCACATCTGTGCCCATGGATCTTCATTGCTTAGTACAGAATTGCTCTCAGTTCTGAGTTCCTATTCTGCCCCATGTTTGATGCTAAAGCACCTGCTAAGTCCTAGCCCTTAAAGAAGTTATTTTTTGTAATATCTTTATGGATTTTTGAAAAAGCAGGCCCAAAGACATTAGGCCACTTATCCAAGGCTTCCTGGCTAGCAGATGGAAAGATCTGGGTATGAATCCAGGCCAGTCTGTACAGGCCTGTCCCTTGTCATGGGCTACTGCCTCTGCCTGCTTGTTACCTTCTGGATTGTGCATAACACTGTTGTATGTCAGTGAGAACTATATACCCCAAGGAAACAACAATGCACATTTCTGCATATTACCAGTTTCCCTACACTTCTAATGGGTCGTGGTTAGAGTAGATGTCTGTAATAGACCTATTCTCCAAGCTATATCTACATCCTAAGCCCAGAAGCCTGTAAATCTGGTCATATTTAGGGAATGAGCCTTTGTGGATAGGTTTAAGTCCAGTATAATCAGATGAAGAAATCATCCCAGATTGTGTTATTGGCCCTTAAATGCTATGGCAAGCGTCATCATAAGAGCAGAAGATACTGGAGACAAATTGACTACCGAGGAAGAGCCTGGAAGGTTCCTCTGTGCATTAAAGAATGTCAAGCTAGAGATTGGAAGAAACTGGATTCAAATTCTTCTCTAGAGACTTTGTAATGAGGGTGGCCCTGCTGTCACCTTGATTCTGGGTTTCTGTCATCAGAACTGAATCGGAATATACTTCTGTTGTTCAACAGCACCAAGATTATGGTTGTTTGTTACAGCCCCAAAACAAACTCATAGAGTGCTCAGCTGACACACAGAGACCTAGAACTGGAAAGGCCTTGTGAACCAGTTGGTCTGGCTTGTTCATTTAACATACAAAAAGCCTACAAACCTACAGAGGAAATGATGTGGCAAAGATCACTCAGCAAGTCAGAGATAGAGCGAAAGCTAAGACACAGGTGTGTTGATTCAGGCCCAAGTGATTCCCGTCCTCCTCACCCTGGATGAAAATAGGTCATATTTCCTTATTTTTGGAAGAGGTTTGGCTTGGGCAAATGCAGTAAGATTTGGACAGCATTGTTGTCATCATCATCACTAAGCTGAACATTAGACAGGTTCCTTAGCTGTGGGCCAGTCCCTCCCCCCTCAGAGCTGGTCACAGGAGTCACTCAGTTTTAGAGAGGGAAGTTGCAGTGTGAGGGAGGAAGCTAACCACTGTGTTCACACCACCAGCTTGTGGTTGAACTCAAAAGTGGCCACAGGAATTTTTCTTCCTGATTATTCATTGGGTTCTACTTTTATATTTCCTCTTTCCCAAAACTGGACCCCTACGTGGGAGAGATGGGCTTTAGGTTAGTGTGGAACATGGACGTTTCTTTGTGGGTACATGTGTTTAACATGGTTGGCTAAACTGGCACCACTGGGAATATGCATGAGCAGTACATGATCTAGACAGCCACCCACCATCCTGGAGTTATGAAGAAGGCAAGGAGTCCAGCTCCCACTTCCAGGCAGCAAAAGAAGTGACAGTTTAGTTGATGTATTTCCTTCCCCTCCACCTTTCTTCATTAAGTGTCTGTGCAAGAATTCAGGGACCTCCCTTCGTCCCTGCTCCATCCCAGACAACTAGACACAAGCTGTTCTCTGCTTTAGGGGAAGCAAACATACCTTACAAGTATCTTGACTGATGAGTTTAAATAGGAGACACAGAATAGAAAACTGTAAGGAGCTCTCAGCTGGCAGAAATGGGCTGTGTCATTTCTATACCCACACATCTCCCAATAACCATCACCCTGGAATGGGGAGGAGGAAATTACTAATGAGGAAGAAAGAAGTTGGCTACTAATGGGTCACTGTGACCTCTTGCCTGTCACTGTGGCACTGAGCCTGAGCTCCAGTACAAGAGAGGAGATTAACAATTATATCTAGACAGTTTAGAAATTGCAGAGCCAAGGGACTGCAACACTGCCTGTCCTCTCTAAATTGCCAGTGGTCCACAGCCTTGGCATTAACCCATTGGACCTCCAAGTGCATGAGAGCTGTGCAGTTTAAAGAATACCTAAGTGCTGTAGCAGCACGGTTCTCCAAGAGACCCCAGGAAGCTACAGATCACCAATCTGCTCTGCAATCACAAGAAAAGCAACGAAGGGCTGAGAAACCCAGAAACCCCACTGAAGGAACTGAGCAGTAGGGATAAGAAAGCAGAGTGAACTGCAGAGCCCATGCAATGAGTAAGGTAAAAGGTCCCACTGACCAAGCAGGATGAATTCTATATTGGGTTACAGAACCACCTTTTCTTTTTGAGGAACAAGACCGACACAGCAGCACACCAACTAAGACCAAATTCACCGGCCACTGTTCACTGCCCAGCAGCAATGTTGCCACCCAGAGGAGGGAAAGGAAGACAAAAAGAAGAAAAATCCAATCTGAAATACCGTTGAATAAGGCTGAGCTTTCCTGGAAGTGACTATAATTATTATTTTTCTTGCATGAGTCAGATTGTGGATTCATGATCTGCAGTTGAGCTCCATAAAAAAAAAAAAATCAGTTTCTTTTCTTGCCATCAAAACCTGTGATTGTATGGGAACTGAGGAAGAGTTGGTGCCCAGGTACAGTGCATAGAGCTGCAAGGGGGAGTATGAGGGTGTGGGGCTGTGTGTGTTGGACAATGGGCTTCATGTATGTGAGACAGGAAGGCTATGACTATCTGGAGACCTGAATAGATCCTGACCTGGGAAAGATCTCAGCTGGTGGGAGTGTATGCCAAGTCAGGGCTCTAACACAGCTCCCCATTCAGCCCAGCTTCACGGAGCTCAGGTAGAGTAGGGACAAAGGAGAAGAAGCATAGTTCCCAAGGTTCCAAAAGCTTTAGGCTGAAAAGGGGAACTCTGCAGAAGGTGCTTAAAGAGTGGCATTTCAGGCAACATGTGCTAGGGAGTTGTGACTGCAGACTTGAGGCCAAACACTAAGGGACATTAGTCCCATATCCTGAAGCTGCAACAATGGAGGATCCACGAGTGACAGTCTCCCCAAGTACAGGGGAGAACAAATGGTGCCAGCCAGGAAAGCAAGGATCTGTGGGAGTCACGTGTTCTGGCTGGCTACCTTGACTATGGGACAACAGCCCTTTAAGAGTCAGGTGTGGGTCAAGCACAGAACACAGTTTCAGTTTTGGCAGCAGTAACCAGTGCCTTGTTGAACGCTTCTAGAAAGGAAGGGGCACCCACTGGCTGGCAGTCTGTGCCCCGAAACTGGATCATCTGGAGAGAAGGAAGCAGTAAAAGGTAAGAATGCTACCTGGGATCCTGGGATAGGATGCACCTTGGGATCTTAGGTCCGATGAGTCCCTGCACTCCCAGCTACCAGCTTCTCAGACAGTATGAGATAAACAGCACAGACTCTGTGCCTGAATGCCACATGGGCATATTCCAGTGGTACAAGACATGTGTACGGGCAGGACTCTCCATGCCTTTCTGCAAAATATCATGGGTGAGGAATGTCTGGCCAGCAAACCCTTTACCCTTAGCCCCCAAATTCTCTTATCCTTCCACAGTTACTCACTTACATAGTAAGCTAATCTAATCTTTCTCAGTCTTCATTTGTAAAATAAGGACCTAAAAATAACACCTATCACTGCTGGTCCGAGGGGTTCAAATGGGAAAGCATGTGTGAGGTGCAGCAACATTGCAATGATTTGGTGCATCTTAATTTAGTCTAATTACTCAAGAGTTAATTGAGAGGCTCAGAGCTGGGTTCAGATTATACCATAACGCACATGGTCTCAGCTACCTTTCAAAGGAGGCCACACTCAATATCTTTCTTTTTTTTTTTCCTGGGCTTCTCCAGGGTTCTAAAATGATTTCCAGTTGCAACCCAGACTTGCCTCCACATATTCATGCCACTAGAAACAAGGATGCATTGTGGTGTTGCCCTGCCCTAAGTGGGGAGAACAGTGTCCTTGTGGAGTAACAGAGTAAGGAGGGAACAGAGCCACTTCTAGGTACAGACAGCAGCTCTATGTTCTGATGCACCCCCTAACTCGGCACCCAAGCAGCCACCAGTCTCAGCCTTCTCCTTTCTGACAAGCCAGTGCAGAAGGACAGTGCCAGCCTGCCTTCACCCTTCGCACCAGCTCCATTGGTGCAGCTGCCACCATACTTGGGGACAACCAGGACCCACGTGTTTTGTATGACAGTTTTTGTTAACACTTTTCCCTGCTGCTAAGGGATTTAGAGATTTCTTGATATAGAAAGAGGGGTGTGCCTCTTCGGGGATAGAAGGCATCTATCGGGTAGCTGAAGGTAGAGATTCAGCTCTGAGCTGTATATGGAACTTTCCTTTCATGTGCCCGCCATCCAGGATGTGGTATTATAGCTCAAAGAACTGAACCAGGAGTCAGGAGAACACTCAGCTCTGTGACCACCTGCTTCTTACCACGTCTCTAGATCTGTGGAGTCCGTTCAGAAAAAGCCCAGTGACTGCGGCTCTCGTTCAGTGAATCTGCTCGCCCTGGGGCTTCACAGCTTCATCTCACCCCACCCCCCAATGCCAAGGAGCTGGGAAAGGAGACACCACAGTCTCATCTTGCAGCTGAGGCAACCAAAACTCCATCAGTTAATGTGAATGATGTAAAGTCACAGAGGTCTAAACTATATGTCGGTACATCCTTTCTGATATGGTTTTAAAGACTCTTTGATATCACCTCTCAAAGCAAACTAGTTAACTGAAAAATACACACAACTGGAACACACCTATAATTCTAGCACTTGTGAGGCTAAGGTGGGAGGGTGGCCGGGTTGAGAGTTAGAGTTCAGTGACTCTGCCTCAAAAATATAAATAATAGATGGTGGATGAATAGATAGATAGATAGATAGATAGATAGATAGATAGATAGATAGATAGATAGATACATACATACATACATACATACATACATACATACATACATAGATGAAATTACAGGTTGAGTATTCCTGAATCTGTAATTCTAAAATCTGAAATGCTCTGAACTTAGGCATTTTAAGAGCCAACACTACACATGCAGAAAATTCCACACCAGACCTCAGGTAATGGACGTCAATCTAAAACATAGTCACATTAAAAATATATAAAATTACCTTCAGAATATGCTTAGACATGGGTCCTATTTCCAAGATAATTTATCACATATCTGAAAATATTTCAAATATTAAAATGGAGACTATTTCTGATCCTAAGATTTTTGGATAAGGGTGCTCAATCTATAAAATCCATGCATTGTGTTCAGCAGAAAATATGATCCACATCCTCTTCTGACTCTGGGAACAAGGAAGCTAGAATCCCAGAGTCACTTGCATGACAAGTCACAAGGCATGGCAAGAGAGACAGAGCTTTGGCATGGATGTACCCAGATTCAAGAAACAAAGCTGACACTCCCTATCCATGCCCAGTGCCAAATAAATGACAACTAGTGTTTTCAGGAAGATCTCTTGGCACCACCTCTAGGTCCCAGTGACTCTTCGTGAGAATTGCCTTTCCAGTGAAAGGTGGGGAGGAGAGAACAAATTTATTCTTTTCTTTAAAGCTGGCACAGCCCTCAAGTGACAGAGTTGAAAGCTGGGGGGAAGAGTAAATGGTTTTACCACTCAGCCCAGTGCATAGCTACCATGAAGGGCAGGCACACAGGCCCTGCCCGACCCACCTGCCCTTTAGAGCAATTGTAACTGCTTTCTGTTGGAGAGCACTTAATGTCATTAAAAATGTGTTCATACATATTATTTTGTTGCCTTTCCTATGTTCTCCCATCCCAAGGCATACCCCTTTCAAGTTAGAAGAGTCAGGAACTCTATGTTCATGTTTATAGATGAAAGTGCTGAGTCAGCATTTTCTACCCACGTGTTAGAATGCTCTTTATACCTCATGATAGAATGGAATGATGGACCCCCTAGATTCTCTTCCATCCTTAACATTCTTCTTCACATGACAATTTCCAAGTTCTCATTCAACTCTTTGTGAGAAATGAAAGTGATAGTCCAAAATGGACTTAGGAGATGCTTCTCCTGGAGTAGGAGAAGAGACCATTCAGTTCAGGTCAAGGCAGCAATGGAAAAGAAAGCCCTTGCAGTCAAGCCGTCCTTTCACTAGTCTTCCTAACCCCACAGTGTCTCTCTCCTTCAACTTCATATTCATGGGTGTCAGAATCTGTCACTTGGCTTCTGTTCTTTTTAGCTCACATTCTCTGCCCCCTCTGAAGCCGCTGGAGCTTTGAGAATCCTGCCTTACCTTCTCCTGGGAGGTGAAGGCTTCAGGTTGTTTCAGGGATGCAAGATTAGATAGCTTAGCCAAGCTAAGACCTGGGCCCAGCTGTCCCTTCCTCTGAAGAGGCACATCAGAGATTAGATGAACAAAGATTTGTCCTGAAAGCTGAAAATCAGTCACTTAACCAAAGGGGAACTAGCTAAATTGGGTTTATAAGGAGATAAACTCTATTTTCCTTTGAGGCCCATATTTCTGCCCCAGTCTACAAGCTTGGGGATATAGGTTATAAATATACTGGGAAATTAACTTAGTGGACCACAAACAACCTGGAACATCTCAGCCTCATCAATGAAAAAACAGCTCAACCCTAGTTTCAATGCAAGTACTCTAGTGAAATAGTTTAAATTATAGATGACCACATTTTATTAAGTCATTTAAGAGTCTAGTGAGTCTTCTAGTGGGCTGAACAAGAGTATGCCTTGACTGGAAAAAGATTCTTGGTGTCCACACAAAGGAGGGTAAATTTTTAAAGTCAAAAGGCCACAATCACATCACACCTAGTGTAGGCTATGGGCCTTTACAATATAACCTTTGGTCTTGTAAAACATCACACAAGGTCGTCCCTCTAGACCAGCGGTTCTGGACCTTTCTAATGCTGTGATCTTCTAATACAGTTTCTCATGTTGTGGTGACCCTCCCCCAACCATGAAACTATTTTTATTGCTACTCCATAACTGTAGTTTTGCTATTGTTATGAATTGTAATGTAAATATCCAATATGCAGGATATTTAATATGCAACCCCTGTGAAAAGGGTTGAGACTCCCAAAGGGGTCACAACCCACAGGTTGAGAAGCACTGCTCTAGAGGACCCGAACTGTTTTTACGTATCAGGATACTTTCTCAGTGTTGTAAATCTCTATCAAAAGGAGAGAGAAGCTATTTGTTTAACAAATATAGTGGAGGAGGTGAGGAGTCAGAACAACCTGACCTTTCTTAAGCTAGTTCACTAAAAAATATATAACCTCATAGAACTGATCTCTGGGCTCATGCAAGAAGTGACAATAGACTCATGGTTCCAGTTCCAATTCTGATATAGTGTTGGGGTCAAGAGTCCCTGGCACTTAGATCTCTTATCTACAGCAATAAGGTAATATAATCTATCCCGGGTTCCTGTGGCAATACATTAAATCCCATAAGAGTGGACCCTAACAAAACATCTGGGTGGGTTGTGGGGACAAGTGAGTGCTTTACTCTTTCTTTCCCTTCTTAAATTCATCTCTAGTCATTCACTGAACTCTGGATTTCCTGGGCTTTGGGAAAAGTCTGACTGAGGTGAAAATGTTTTAAACTCAGGGCCTTTTTTAGCTGCTACCAGAGAAATGGCTCTAACTTTTAGCTCTAGGCAAAGAAGAGTCCCCGTTTTTAAAAATGCCTTCTGCCCATCACCTCCCCTGGGAGTAGACTCTTGTCCTTCCTGCCTAGGTGACCCTCTCCCAGATAGTTCCTCCCAGATATGCATGCCTGATGCTCTCACACCTGACTTTGAGCTATGCACAAAGTTGAAGGTATTCACATATCTCCCTGTTTCCAAGCTGACTGACCTAGCCATCCAAATGTGTCACAAAATGATAAGCGTGGGCTAGAAGTCAGGTCCCTCATCATGGAAAGCCTGACACCTGGTTCTCTGTTAAAAAAAAAAAAAAAAAAAAGTTTGTTTACCCGTCCAGAGGAAGCTTATCACCCCAACTCAGCTGTGCCTATGAAAAGATCAGGTTCTGCCTCATAGATATTAGAAGCTTGCTTTTCTAGACTCAAGAATGAGAATAAAAGATGGCCACTGCTTGTTTGGGCTCTTAAAAGCTGAAACTATTTGGCCTTCCCACCTGTGACTGCACCCAGGACCAACACAAGGGGCAGGTACTAGGTCTCTTGGGACTTGGCGCCACCCATCCCAACTGTTACAGAACAGATAGGCCTCACAGCTGCTCTTACCTGGGAGCTTCTTGCCACTCAGATGACCCACAAGCACTTGATTACATACAAATTAGGCTGAATCTGGCTAAGGCTTCACTCCAGGAGTTTATCATTGACTTGGTAAGAAATCATGGGCCGTTAACCCCAGTAAAATGGCCTCTAGTTGCCATCTGACACCCTTGTCAGTCCCCACCCCCTGTCCTCACTTCTTCCAGAGAACTAGAGAAACAGAATACCTTTATCTCCACAAGGAAATAAAAGGTTTTCTTGCTGGGAAATTCCCCTGAGGAAAGAAATAACCAAGATAAACAACTTTATTGCTTTTGGCTCAGCTAGTGAAGGAAGTCTCTGAGAACCAGGAATCAGGGGCAAGCAAAAAGAGATAATGCCCAGGCTGCCTCCTGCTTAAGTTTCCTTATCTTTATGGGTGCTCATTATTGTGTAGGGCCTACTATCGTTGTTTTTCTCCTTTAAGAGCTCCATCAAACCTATTCCAAAGTTTAAAGTAAGCAAAGGCCTCAAAGTCTGTTGGAAAGTGGGGACTCCCCTCTCTACTCTTTTCTTCTATGCCCTAGAGACTAGGGGATAGTTTGGGTCCCTGAGATAGTACAATCTAGCATGGGCCAAGGCTCAGTCCTCTGTTGCCTGCCTCATGGGCTGCTTGCATTCTCCATCTTCGTCTGCCAGAACTCAACAGGCAGGAAAGACGGTAACACTTATTGTTGGGTTAAAGGTAGAAGCCAAGAAAACTCACTTCAGAGTCAAAAGTTTAAAATGCAAGCTGTATTTTCTGAGTGCACAGGGAGACGGCCAGCTCGGGATCTGAACTGATCCCTGAAGGGAGATTGCACAACATTCTTAAAGGAACAGGAGCAGAGTGGGTGCTGTGCTGACCAATAATGCTTTGACACAAGAGGTTGAACAACGTGGATGAGTGGGTCACCTGGTCTCAGGACCTTCCACTCATCTCTTTGCAGTCACGTCCTCTCTTGGACTTTGGCCTGGAGTTTAGAATGATAGGGGACCAAAGGAGTAAGAAAGCCTTAAATCAAGACAGGCAACACATTTATAACTTCTGTGCCTTAGTTTAGATAATGGATAATGGCAACTTCCCTCTTTATAACCCTTACTGGTTAACAGACAGACATGACACACTGGAAGAAGCAGGATAGAAGTTGTGTTCCAAGCCTGGGAATATAAACTCAGTTTTGACACTGCCAGCAAGATAAAACTTGTTCCTGAGATGGCTAAACCCAGGAATCTGCCTCTTAATACTACATTTTGTCTCTGACCCATAATAGAATCACTGGAAACCTTAGACATAACTCATCATCTCAAGCTCTTAATTTTCTTGTGATTATGTCTGTTTGTCTTATTTCAAGGGTACTTGTAAAAATCAAATGAATAATGTTAGCTTCAGAGAAAATTCTAAGTCCCCCAAACTCCAAAAGGCAGTCCAAATATCCAGAAATGGGCTCAACCTAGAATACAGGAGGATTTCTGGTGGTTACATAAAAGCCAGCATTCCTCAGGAACTTGTGAAAGGGAAAGTCGTTTCCCTTTCTCCTGGCAGAAGAGACATAGCGCTACCTATGGTGCCTGTCAGCATATCAAAACTCATGCTGGCCTCCGGGCTACTTCAGTATAACAAGTACCTGTTACACATTTCAAAGTCCATGCTAACAACCTAGTCCTCACCTCCATCCCTACCCTAAACTTATTCCAGTTCATAGGCTTCTCTCCCTCATACTCTTTCTCCTTATAACCCTGTTCTTGCTATGCTCTCTCTCTCTGTGTCTCTCTGTCTCTTTTTCTGTCCTACAACAAAAACTTTTCTCTTAACCATTCCGTGGAGTGGTCATGTTGTCAGGCTATATGACAGACTTTGACAAACAGTAGGCATTCTGGCATCCAGTATAAGCAAACTGAGAGTCCTGAAGCAGTAGAGAGGGAGAAAATAGACAAACCAAATAAGCCAGGGTTGAGATTACCCTAGCACCACTCTGCCCATTTCCACAGTTAACCCTTGTTTGACATCTACAAGCCTTTGCTTACCTTTACAAATACCAAAATTGTTAAACAGCTTCCTCCTGTCTCAGTTTACTCAGTTCACCCACCCAAAAACATGTCAGCCTCCTCCACCTCCAAGGATATAGGGTGGGGAACTGATACAGAAAGACAACCACATTACAGTGTTCCCAGTACTGGGTCCTGGATCATGACAAAGAAATGCCTTCCATATCACTAGCCCAAAGGAACATCCAGCTTAGATAAGAAGACAAAGGAACTTACAATTACTGAAGCAATTAAGAATGCCTATTGGTTAAGAGGAAGGTTTTTATTGTAGGTGAGAGAGACAGGCAGACAGACAGCACACATAGAGGGGTGGAAGAACTGAGAGTCCTTACCAGTGAGGAAGCACTATTCATGAATTAGATAGTTAATTCAAGAGGATTTACAACAGTTTCTGCATGCAGAAAGCAAATAGGTGTTACAGAGGAACTCTATCTCCTTTGTTTATCGTCTTTCAGAATCTCACACAAGAAGACGACCTGAATGGCACAACCCCCTTGGAAGCCACCAGAAATGAGGCTCTTCTTGTTCACCATCCTGCTAGCTGTCTTCCCAGGTAGGTCTGATGGTCCCAACCCATCTCAAACTCTTTGTTCCTAGGCTCCTTGTTTCTAGGATCCCAGCTCCATGGAAACACTGACATCAAACACTGACATTTCTGGACATTCCCCAGAAATGTCCCTCACAAACTGTGTATCCCTATAAGACACAGTTAGTCTGGGGCAATGCAGAAAACACATGCCTAAAAGGGGCTGATAACCACTGGTAATCAAAGACAGGAATGAAAAATTCCTAATTTTAAGACCAGGAGTCTTATAGAGGGTACTCTCTGGAGATTTTTTTAAAAAAGACCTTGACCTCAAACTAAACATCTTTTCTGAATTGTGTCATTTGGGAGCAATCAACTATCCCTGATCCTTAATGTTCTCAACGTATAAAAAGGAATTAATTTACAAAAGGAAATTATGTAGCAAATGCGAAAATATCCCATCCAGCAAAAGTAGTGTTGTGATATTATTAGCTTGTCATTCACTGTCCTTAAAAAGAATATTGTTAATGAGTTACTGTTGTGGAATTTGAGACCACAGACTCAATTCAGATTATAACTACCAACGTTATTATTTCTCTAAGACAAATCAGAAATGCTGCACCACACCTAAGCAGATCGAGGAAAGGTTTTTAAAGGCAAACACCACAATTACTCCACTTGTACAGAATTTACAGCTACATGACCTGGCCTTCTTTCCCAGCTACAGGGAAAACCGCATTCCCCTGCCCATAATGATAAGGATGTTTACAAAAACCAAAACAATCTGTTAGTCATTTCACAACAGTTGCTCGGCTTAGGGGAGGGGACAGGGCTCAGAGCTTTTAGGAATTTAGGTAAGAAGCTAACGGCTATTAAAGTTGTTGGCTTATATGAAATGGAATTTCATTGGGTTTGGATCAGATGGATCATATTATTGAATCCTGCTGAAGTACAGGTTGACACAGTATCTGTAGGGCTAATATTTTAACAGATTGATTCTTTTTTTTTAATGTACATTAGCAACCAATTTAAAATTCAACACTGATCATAACACCAAAGAACAGTAAAAGAATGGGTTCAGCAAAGGCAGTCAAAAAGTGGGAAGCCATGGGGACCAAGAGAAGAGGCCTCAGCACACTCTTTTGCTCTTGCATCTAAGTTTTTTCTGGATCATGTTAATGTTTCTAGTGGTTGGCATGAAAAAAAATATTTTTCACATAAGGTGGAACAAAGGTTCCATCCTTTAGAGATAACAAATCTCATCTCCAACAGGTCTGTAAAAACATTTCTGCTAGGGAATCCACTTGTTTTTCTAGATGTCCTATAGAATCTTTGAGGTGTTGTATGTCCTGGCCTACACTCTATTATTTAGAATTTTGAAATTCTGATCCTGAATTTAAAGCTGACATTTCCAAGGCAACCACGCCTGTGATCCCTGCTGTCCTGAGGAGAGGTATAACTATAGCTGAGTTACTATTCTATTTCTTCTAACTAGGCCCTGGCCCTCAGAATGAGAGTGTTCTTTATATGAAGGTAATTGTCTTCTACTCTCCTTTCCAGTCGGGGAAAAGAAATAGGTTAGAATACAGAGATTTTTTTCCCCGTGTCCGGAATTCTAAGTGTTCAAGGCTTACATCTAGCCAAGCCAGATGTGCAGACCCACCATGCCCCCAAAAGGAGCCAGAAAGTACATTCTAATATATTAGGATTTATCTGTGTACATCTGAGTAGTGCAGAACTGTCCATACAGGTAAGCCGAGTAATTATGAGTTGAACATACCTGTAACTTGGAGGTCTCCTAGGATGAGCTTACTTGCTTCCAGTTTACAATTTAAATTCTTGGATGGGGTAGCAGCAGTTGGGGTGATAGAGAGATTGACCTTTATCCCCACTTAAAAAGGAGGCCTAGAGTCTAGGCAAAGCAAACATTCATTTCGCAGGTTAGGAAGGGTAGTTTATCAGGCTGTGTAGGAACTTTAAGGTCTCAAGCTCAGGGACATCATCAGGAGATGGAGTTATTTTATGTCCTTTGTATTGGGCTGAGGCTAAGTCTAACACCATCTACTCCTTGGATGAGACTGAAGGCTGACTCATTGCCACGGATGTAGTAGTCCGAGCAGGGATGACAAGAAGGGGAGACATCTACCCTAGTCTTTGGGTGAAGCAGCCAGCTTTTATCAGGGCCTAGAGGTTAATTTGGAGGGGTTAATCCTAACCTTAATCCCTCACACTATCCCTAACCCTAACCCTATACTTTTTTCCTATAGAGAACTCGATTGCCCATTTAAAAGTAAAACTCTTAGTGGAAGCCAGAGACCTGGGGACCGGCCTTTAAGGCAGGATTGTGTGCTCAGTTCATTCCAGGTCATGACTTGTAGAGTAGAGGGGCTACATTTCCTGCAGGTGCATCCTGAGAAAGAGTTTTCTCACTCAAAAAGGATGTATGGGTCTAAGTGCCTGATCTCCCTTTCTCAGACAAACTCCGTCCCACAGCTTGGTTCAGAACAGTGATGATCTCTTTTTCATTGGTGGCAATGTGCTAGTCCATCAGCTGGACATATTTGGGAAAAAGGTTTCATTTAGCATATTTTTATCACATCCTGGGAATGGCCAAGGTATCACTTCCAATATACTGCATCTTAGAAGTGATATATCCCGGGCTTTCTTGTCAGTCTGGACTAGATAATCCTCAAAGAGGCCACATAGATGAAATGTAAACACAGGCTGGGAGGCAACATTTTGGAGAGCAAGGGTTATCTTTCTAGTAGCTAACCAGAGATAAAAGATGCATTGTTCCTGTGATAACTCCCAGTCACAGACCTTAACATTGTTAGTGGCTCAAACATGAAAGACACCTGTCAAGATTCCCAACATTAGTGTCAAATCTGAGATGCTTTAGGGGAATCTAGGGATCTTGCATTACTCTTCGTTTTCCACCTTTCTGTTGGCTGGTCACGTCCACCTTTAGATGGGAATGGTAGATCCCACTATCTTGATGGCCACGGGTGTTGTCAGGCTCACTGGATATGGCCCCTTCCTGGAAGGTTCCAGGGTTCTGCTGGGAAGGTGACGGACCCACAGTAAGTCTTCAGGTTGGAATCTGTGCATGGGTTCAGGCTTCAGTCAAAAGCAGTGCTGACCGTGAGGGTGATAGACAACTCCGTATGTCTCGGGTTGTCTGCTACAATGCCTGTAAGGACTCAAAGAAGAAGAATTAGACATTTCAACAGACTGTGGCCTTCCCTTTGCAGGAATAAGTGGAGGCTGCAGCCAAACATTATTTCAAATGGAGTAGCTTGTGTCACTAAGACGACCACCTGGTTTTTAAAAGGAATGGTAGGTTATGGCAGTTCAGTGTCCAAGTGGCCTCTATAGTAATGGGGACAGGGATTGTCTCTGACATGAACTGTGTGGCCTGCTCTTTGATCACCTCCACCTGAGGGGGGAGCAGCCTTACCAGGCCACAGAAGAAGACAATGCAGCCAGTCCTGATGAGACCTGATAGACTTGGATCAGAGGGAAGGGGAGGAGGACCTCCCTTATCAGTGGACTGGGAGAGGGACACGGGTGGGGGAGAGGGAGGGGAGGACTGGGAGGGGAGGAGGGAGGGATGTACAGAGGGGATACAAAGTGGATAAACTGTAATTAATAAAAATTAAAATAATGAAAAAATAAATAAAAGGAACGGTAGGCAGGAAGCAGTTCTATTCATCTCTTGCCAGTTTCAGCCCAGAATTCAATTACTATCTCTTTAATAGCCCTATTGGTGATTTCTGCCTGTCCTGAGCTCTGAAGTTCATAGGCACAAGGTAGTTTCCAGTGTATCCTAGTGTTTTGGCTGCTTGCTGACAGATTACTATGGAGGCGGGGCCATTGTCAGACCCCTAAGAGGGGAGGAGACCAAACCTGGAAATAATCTCCACCAGTACCTTTTTTAGCAACTACATTAACTGTTTCTGACCTTGTGGGAAAACCTTCTATCCTAAAAAGTACCTATAAAAACTTGCAAATACAGGTAAGCAAACCTTGTCCAAGAAATTTCAGTATAGTCCAGTTCCTAGTGCTCTCCCAGATTAAGCCCTTTCTTGAACACCCATAGCTGCTACCTTTCCCCGTTTTGTGTTTACCTGGGCACAGATGCCGTAGCAGTGGGTAATTTGTTCAACTCTTTGATCTAGATGGCATAGAAAGTACCTGTCCCTGATTAACTCTTTTAAATTTGGTTAATCCCATGTGTGTACTCTGATGGATTTGTGAGAGAAGGGATGTACCCCAAAGCTTTGTAGAATGAGGCCCCATCTGGAAGCATCCACCAGTCCTCCAGCTTAGTGGACCCCTACTGTCTGGCCCAAATTTCTTCCTCACTGGTACATGTATGTGGAAGGCCTAATGCTTGTGGTGGCCTCACTGGCTCTGTGGCTGCTCTTCTTGCTTTGGCATCTGCAAATCTGTTGCCTTGTGTCTCCACCAATTCCCACTCTTGGTGTCCCAGCAACAGATAATAGCAAGCTTCTCTGGCCAAAAGCTTCTAGGAGAGCAGAGATCTTTTTGTTTTTGATCTTTTCTGCAGCGGTCAGCAGGCCCCACTCCTGGAACAAGGTACCATGGGTATGTGCAGTGCAAAGGCAAATCAGCTATGGTACAAATGTTGACAGTACAGCTATTTTTCCCATCTTAATGCCTGGGTCAAGGCTATCAGTTCTGCCTTTTGGGCTGATGTCCCTTGAGGCAGAGGTTGCACTCAGATCACTTCTATAGGTATCACGACAGCCCCCTCCTGCATAGCTGAAACCGTCCTGCACATAGTTGCTTCCATAGGTGAATAAGATTGCATCTGCCTTCTGGATGCAACCTTCTGGGGTAGTCTCAGAGGTCCACTGCTCCATATTGCAGGTGAATGATGAGTTGGGCACAGTCATGAACTGGCTGTCTTCAGGGTCAGGCAGGAGGGATGCTGAGTTTAACACTGCGGAAGGTAAGAATTTGATCCTGGATGTATCTAAAAGAAGAGCCTGATAATGGGTAAGGTATGTGTCTGGCATCCAGTACTCAGAGACTCCTTGAAAGAGCATCTCACTGGAGTGGGTAGTGGTAACAACCAACTCCTTTCTGTCCCATGGTCAGTTTAGAGGTTTCCTTTAACAATAGTGCTATGGCCCCAACAGCCCAGATGGAAGCTGGTCATCCTGCTGCAGCAGGGTCAAGGCACTTAGACAAACAGGCCACAGACCTTTTCCAAGGTCCCAACATTTGAGTCAGCATGCCTTTGCCACCCTGTGCCATTCATCCACAAACAAGTGGAAGGTTTTATCAGTGTCAAGCAGTCCAGGCGCTGGGGCTGACATCCAGCTTCTTTGAGCTTTCGGAACGCCTTATTTCTTTTCCTCCCAACTCAGGGGAGGTATAATGGTTTTGCTATTTCTGCAAAGTTCAGCATCCACAGTCTGCAGTATCCAAAAATACCCAAGAATTCCCTCCCCTGCCTTTTATCCTGTGACTCAGGATATTCAGAACAGCTTGGACCCTGCTTGAGAGCAAGGTCCTCTTGTTGCTAGCCTCAAAACAACTCCCCAGATAAGTCGCCTTATCAGAGCACAATCAGGCCTTTTTAGCACACACATAGTAGCCTAGCTGCTGAAGCATTTCAAGTGGTTCCTCTGTGGCTTTTTTGTGCTCCTCCGGGGTGTGTGTATCAATGAGGAAATCATCCACAGAGTGCAAGAGGGTGACATTCAAATGCCCTTGGAGATATTCAAGCAGGTTCACACTAAGCTTTATCAAGCAGAGTAGGGGAGTTCTTAAACCCTTGTGGGTAGTCAAGTCCAGATCAACTGGCCACTGAACCCTGACTCATGATCTGTCCATTCAAAGGCAAATACTGGTTGGCTCCTGGTGCCAGAGGCAGAGAGAAAAAGGCACCCTTCAGGTCTAAGACAGAATTCCAGTTTTTCCTTGATCCAATAGGCTGAGCAAAAGATAAGGATTTGGTACTGTCTGGTGATAATTTCCACCCCTTTATTTACATCCCTTAAGATCTGACCAGAATGATATGGCCTTTGGTGCCTGTCTTAAGGAAAGGGGTGTTCCAAGGTGAGTGACAGAGAACCAAAATACCTGCATCTCTAAGACAGCTTATATGCTTTCTAACACCCACCTTAGCTGCTCTGGAGGTAGGATTCTGCTTTATCCTTATAGATGAAGCTGAGCTTGGGGCCAAACAACTGGTGGCCCATGTGAGCCCAGCCCAGGGGAGCTGGTCTCTGCCCTCCCACGCTCTATGGAATATTAGTATTAATTCTGTTAGGAGACTCTTTTCTGTCATGTTATACTCTTCTGATAAAAGGCAAGTCACCAGGGTTATTGGGTAAAGACTCCCTGGGTCCACAGTGACTTTTCCCCATTGAACATGATGGTGGCACCAAGGTTTCTCAACAAGCCTTTACCAATCATGGGGTGCAGAAAATTTGGCTTAACAGAAAAATGAATGCATCACAGTTCCTTGTCCAAGGTCCTCTTCTCAGCTCCAACCTATGTCCAAGCATAGGTTCCAGTCCCTACGGCCCCTTGGATGGTGGTTCTTTCCTTAGTAAAGGGCCTAGGGGATAGATTGTCACTGAAGAGCCTGTACTGGTATCCACTAGGAAACAGAGTTATGACCCCTACTTTTCCTGTGACCATGGGTTCCTGGGGACTCACTGGTAATGGAGCACTGGCCAGGTCCATCTAGTCCTGTCATGTTGAACATTTGCTCTCTCTTTCCTGCTGGCAATGAGGACATTCATTTTTCCAATGTCCCTTTTCTTTGCAATATGCACATTGGTCCTTCTCCGATCTGGATCAAGGCTTATTTGGTCACCGAGGGCAGGTCCACTTTTGGATTTTATCAGGCATTTATCCGAACATAGGGTCCAGTTTTTCATATCTCTTCTCATCTGGTTCTTTATTGTTAAAAGTTTTTTGAGCTATTTCTAACTGTGACCTATTCATTCTCTCAAGACCTTCTAATTTCTGTATCTTTCTATGGGTTTCTAGGCCCAACTAGTGACAAAAGCAATATTAATATCCTGTTGGTTTTCTGGAAGCATCCAGATCTATGGGACTAAACTCCTGGTAAGCTTCCCAGAGGTGCTCCAGGAATACAACAGGAGTTTTCTGATTTCTCTAAATAATCTCACATGTCTTTGAGAAATTAGTTAGGCAGTTGCTCTCATTCCAGTCACCAAGGCCTGGCAAAAGGTGTCTAGTGTCCTCTTTTTATCTTGGTCAGTGTTGGGATCCCAGTTTTGTAAAGCTGAGGGCAATATTCTCTCAGCTTTTTCTTCTGCATCTGCCCTGATTACTTCTGGACTCATCACAGTCCTCCTGGCCTCAGATATTATTCTACCCCTCTCCTTATCAGTAAAAAGGATACCTAGATATTGTCCACAATCAGCCCAGATGGGTTGGTGCATAAAGAAAATAGTTTCAACAGGCTGATAAGGTCCTGAAGAATCTCAGAGAAGGGGAGGGTTCTGAGTCTTCCAATTATACAGGTCAAAAAAAAAGCATAAACTAGAGAAGGGGGTCTGGGCCTCTGTTCCTCATAAGCACCTTGTGCTGACCAGGGCTGGTACCCACTAGCGGTGCCTCCCTAAGGGGTAGAATGACTGGTGTCTTGCTTGGCTGGGGTGGAGCATGATACAGCACACTACAAGTGTGTAAAGGTGAGGGCAGAGCAGGACAGATTCTTGGAACTGCTGGCACCTGGTGCAGGTCCCCCTAAGGTACGGTTGGCTCCCGGCTTAGCATCGCATGGATTGTAGGCAGGGGAAAATTGTCTTCCACAGGGGCCAGTACAGAGAGTCCAGGCATTTTATTTATGTTTCTACTCAGCCCTTGACTTATTCACTTACTAACTAAAACAGAGGAACCTTGTTTAAGGCCACATTTCAGCCATGGAGGGGACTCAAGGCAAAAGGAAAGCTAGCAATCAATATAAGGAAACTGGTCTGGATGGCTAGGATTCCCTGTGACCACTTCCCAGAATCTCTTGGAAATTTGGAAGTTAAGGACCCTACATCTGGCCATCCCACAAAGAAGTGGGCCATTCTAGTTCACAGAGAATGCAGAGCTTTCTAAATAACACCTTAATGCCATAGTCTGCCTCACGGAACTCCTGGACATGTTGCAGCATCCAGCTCAAGGTTAACTTGTCTGTGCTCTGCCTGTCTCCCATTTCTGCAACAGAACCTAGCACACCAGAAAACATAAATCCACCAAACACAACAAACAACCTAAAAAACCAAAACATTCACACAGTCAGAAGAGTCAGACACAGACATACATTGGATACCTTTACTCATACCCCCCAAAGGCAAAACACAAAACAAAAACAAAAACACACCCCAAGGGTGCAGGAGACTATCTCCTCTATCCCTGAAGACTGTGTTTACAAGCACATTCAATCTTCTGATGTGTCCCCAGGTGTCAGGACTTCCCAGAACAGTTCACTGAGCATTACTGTCCTCAGCACACATCAGCCAACAATCCTTCCATTTTGTTTCAATTTGCAAATTTGCAGTGGTCATAGTCTGAGGAATCCCAATCCTAGGGCCTCCAAGTCCACAAAAGTACTTGCCCTCATCTAGGACTGTTTGCCTCTGGGTCTCCTAGTTGTGTTACTAGTCTGACCCTGAATCTGGCTCTTTAATTTGTGGCAGCCATGGTCTCAGGTGCCCCTGAGTCTCCAAGTTTGCCTCATACTTGCCCCTACTTGGGGCCTATCCTGGATTCCTAGCCCTGAGTTTGGGGTCTCCCAAGATCTTGGTGGGGCCTCCAAAACTGTTGTGGAGTTTGAGACCACCAGGAAAAGACCACAGACTCAACTGCAAATTATAATTAGCCAAATTTATTATTTATGTTATCATGGCAGCTACCTCTAAGCCAAATCAGAAATGTGCCTCAACTGAATGGATGGGGGAAAGTATTTTAAAGGCAAACACCACAATTACTTCACTTGTGTAGAATTTATACTGCATGAGAAACTGCCTGCCCACAGTGATAAGCATATTTACAGAAGCCTAGCAAACTGTTAATCATTTCACAGGAATTATACAATTTAGGGGAGGAGGCAAAGTGTCAGAGCTTTTAGAAACTTAGGTCAGAGGCCAATGGCCTAAAATGGATGCCTGGTACAAAACAGAATTTACTTACCTATCACATTACAATTAAAATGGAATAAAATTATAATTAAGCAACCATTTTATTTAATACAGTGTTGTTTGTCTGTAATATCATGTAAATATCTAAGGAATACACATTAATTAGAAATTTTCATTCCTCAGGTGAGCTATGTGGATCCTTTCAGTCCACTTGACCTTCCTCAGTTTTTAGAATTCTTGTCTTCTGTTTCCACAGTGGTCTCCACAAAAAGCCCTATATTTGGCCCCCAGGATGTGAGCAGTATGGAAGGTAACTCGGTCTCCATCACATGCTACTACCCAGACACTTCTGTCAACCGGCACACCCGGAAATACTGGTGCCGGCAAGGACCCAGTGGCTACTGCACAACCCTCATCTCTTCAAATGGCTACATCTCCAAGGAGTATTCAGGCAGAGCCAAACTCATCAACTTCCCAGAGAACAGCACATTTGTGATTAACATTGCAGAGCTCACCCTGGATGACACTGGGAGCTACAAGTGTGGTCTGGGCACCACTAACCGAGGCCTGTTCTTTGATATCAGCCTGGAGGTCAGCCAGGGTAAGATCCAGTCTCCCTGGGTTTCTGGGTAAAGCAGATGAAATAATTTTAGGTACAATGCGAGAGTTTGCTGAAGGAAGATACCTCCTACAGAAGGGTATCCTGGCATGAAATCTAAAGTCTCTTCCCTCCTGAGGCAGACTTTGCATAATAGAACATCAAGACATATGAAACAGATCTGGGGGAAATGGGTGAAATGTTCAATCTTCTGGACCTCTAACAAGCATCTCTGGCTTAAATGGGTGCCAGGAGAACAGCTTTTTTGTATTTGATAGAGTTGAGACATGATATCTACCAGGTCCAAAGGAAAGTCTTTTTCCCCAAATTCTGAAGAACAGACAAAAGCCAGCATTCCACAGGAACTTTTGAAGCCAGTTCCCCAAAGGAACCATTTCTCTGACTTTCAGAAGGGACAAATGGCTATCTGTGATGCCTATTAGTATTTTAAAGCACATTCTGGCCTCCGGGCTCCCTCAATATTACAAGTATCTGTTATACATTTCAAAGCCCCTGCTGGCATTCTGGCCCTTCCCTCCCTAAACTTCTCATGGGCTTCACTCACCCCAGCTACTCATTTCTCCTTCTAGCCTGTTATTTCAGCTGTGCTCCCTCCTTCAGGCCTGTACTGTTTTTGCCCCACCCCTACCCACACTCTATTCTGCTCTGGCTTCTCTCCTAGTCTGCTGGCCATGTTCAATCTACTACTTTCTCTCCCTGCTCTGGACTCTTCCAGATGCCTCTGGCTGCCCTCTCCCACGTGTCTGCAATTAATCATACCTTGAAGCAGCCGTGTCATCAGTTAATAGAGCATCTGTCTAACCTAATGAGGTAGAAAATACATCAAGAAAGTTTTTTAAATTCTTAAATTCATACCCTGATGTTTCTTTATATCAAGGCTTTGGGCCAGAGAAGGCTTCTTTATCAATGAAGTAAATACTTGGTGGGATACATTTGTCCATTAGAACCATCAGCATGAATTAGAGTTTTTGGCTGAAGTCTAGGCCCCTGAAGAGGTGGATCTCTAAACAAGCCTGCTATAACTAACATATGAGAGAGAAAAAAACCGCTGTCTGACAAGAGTTGACCCCTGGGGGAACTTCTGACTGTCCAGGGAAAGTTAAAAGAGAAAACTCAATAGAGGAAATATGGAGGGACCCTGAAGCATTGCTCTTTGAGATATGGATGCCATCAACTGTATTCTAAACAAGAACGGTGTTTCTATGATCATGGAGAATCTAACACCACAGATGCCTGAGAGCTGAGGGCTATTCACAGTTGACTCAATCTAGATACATAGAAGAATATTGCAGACACTGGGAACACAGACTGCCGCACAAGGCAGTCCAGAATATTTGGGCTACTGCTTTTAGACAATTCACATGCAATTCTGTTTCTTTCTATACATTTTAATTGGGCACATACCAAGAACACATGTTGTACAAGTCATAGCAGAGAAGGCAAATGTAAAGAAAATGTCTTCACCCTCAAGTCTATAGAGGTAGAAGTCTATAGAGGTAGAAGTCTAACTGGATATAATCACTGATGAAGATTTTCCCGAGGACACAGAGAATGAAGATATTGGTAGCAGCTTATGAAAACCCTTCCTAAGAAGATGGAAGTCAGGTTGACCCCAGGAAAACTGAGGAGGTGAATGGATGATTGCTGACCTCACCATAAAAGTTATAGCCAACACCCCCACAACAAAAGACAGAGTGACAAAAGAACACATACCTCATTTAAACAAGTTGGTTTTAAAATTAATTTATTTGTTCTATGTGCATGAGTGTTTTCTCTGCATGTATTTCTGTGCACTACATGTGTTCCTAGTGCCCTCGGAGGTCAGAGGAGGTGTCAGATCCCATAGGGTTAGAATTGCAGACAGTTGTGGGCCACCATGTGCGTACTAGGGATTGAACCCTGGTCTTCTGGAAGAGCAGCCAGTGCTCTTAACTGCTGATCCATCCCTCCAGCCCCCCCCCCATTATTGAAGTTTTACATTCACAGGAATCTTCACAAAGACCATGCAAAAATCTGATTTTATCTGGAGTTCCATGAAACAGAGGTGGCCATATAGAAATGAGATAGGACAAAACAGGTGTGAACTAGTGGTGGCTGAGTAAATGGAAACTCCAGCATGGCCCATCTGTTCAAGGTCTTCTTGGCGCCTCAGCTGTAGTACTTCTTTTAGAGTGTGAGGCAGACTCACCAATGAAGACCTTGACATAGATTGGTAGGTCAGGAGTTTCTTTCTGGACAGCTGTTACAAAGAGAAATGGGTAGGTTAAAATAATATTTTAAGGCTTGTGTGTGGCTTTAGGATAAAGGGGGTCATGGTTTCTATGGCCTCCTTTGGGAAGAGGAATTCTGGGTTCTATGGCTTACCTTTGGGAAGAATGGCATGAAAAACAAAAGGGCAGGAGAAAATCAAAGTAAAACCTTTGCTTTGGAGGACTTTGCTTTGGTTTATCATTGTATAAGTTCCAACAGAAAAATTATGAAAGTGTTCTTCTAAGAAGGAGGCCATTCTAGGTCATTGGACCACCCAGAACCCTCACTGGGTATAGCAAATGGTCCTATGTTACAAAACAAAAATTATAATTTAACCCTGTCCTTCCTTCCAGCTCCTGAGCTTCCAGGTGACACTCATGTCTACACAAGTGAAGTGGGCAGAAATGTGACCATCGACTGCCCTTTCCGACAGCCAAACTCTCACAAGAAATCGTTGTGTAAGAAGATAGGCCAGGCCTGCGAACTTGTTGTTGACTCTACTGGGAACGTAAACACCAACTATAAGGACAGAGCAAAACTTTTTATGAAAGGGACCAACCAGGTAATATTCAGTGTCAGCATTAGTCACCTCAGACACAGTGATGCTGGCCTGTATGTTTGCCAGGCTGGGGAAGACTCTAGTGCCGATAAAAAGAATGTTGACCTCCAGGTGCTAGAGCCTGAGCCAGAGCTGGTTTATAAAGACCTGAGGTCCTCAGTGACTTTTGAATGTGCCTTGGGCCGTGAGGTGGCCAGTGAGAACAAATACCTGTGCCGGAAGAATAAGGAAGCCTGTGATGTGATCATCAACACCCTGGGGAAGAGGGATCCGGCCTTTGAGGGCAGGATCCTGATAACGCAAATGGATGACAATGGCCATTTCAGTGTGTTGATCACAGGTCTGAGGAAGGAAGACGCAGGGCAGTACCTGTGTGGAGCCCACAGTTCTGGTCTGCCTCAAGAAGGCTGGCCCATCCAGGTTTGGCAACTCTTTGTCAATGAAGGTGAGAACCTCCAGAAGGGAAGGAAGGTGGCGTGGCATGGTATGGCAGATGAGACACTAGCTTACCTTTCCCCCTCTGTTATAGCTGTTATGTTCATTCATGTCAGTCAGCAGTATCTACTCACTGAAAAGTCTTGAACTAAGTACAGTGAGGTGGGGGGCTATTCAGGAGAGCTAGAAAATGCATCCTCAGTATGCCTTATGCTGGTTACAAATTATTCTTCTATGTTATCGAGGACCTATTGTTGATTATCCCTGGCTAACATGAATAAGAAAAGTAGAGGCTTGACTGCTGGAGGCATGACTAATAGATGGGATTCAGGACTGTAATAAGTAATAAGCTCATGTAATAAGCTTATTAATAATAATAAGCTCATGTCTCCTTCCCACCCCACCCACCTTCAGGGAAAATTGTACACCATATCCTCACACTCAGATGGAAAAACATTGACTTAAGCTTCCAGGCAAAGCAATACTCCAAATCTAAACATTCCACTCCCACAGCTCTTAGGGTTATTTGTTACCCAGCACATCTGGCTTAGTAGCTTTACCTCCATGAGCCATCAGCAAGGCAGATCGATTCAACCTCACAGCTCCTTCTCACCCTAGAGCCCAGCACACAACATCCTCCTCATGAGAAGCAGCAAGTCAGCACTTGAAGTTCAAAGTACCTGTTCTATGACTTATCTCTGAGGGGACTGTGTTCCTGACACTGCTCTCCTATTCCTAGCTCTGGGTCCTTATGGCATCCCTGACATCTTCAGTCACCATGGGTTCTCTCTGGTCTTCTGCCTTAGCTTCTGTACCATTGGAGATGACTCTCGGGGTCTTTGATTACTAAAATCATATCACGTAGTTTAGTTTATATTTTTAAAAGTAGAGCCATTCCAAATATATTTTCTTAATTTAGGTACAACAAGCCATTTTGTTTGTTCATTTGTTTGTTTGTTTTTATGATAAGCTAAGAAACTAGTTGAAGCTTATCTAGAATGAGATTTTATAAGAAGCCAAAGGGGCCAATATTCTCTCTTAAATGCTTTTCATTCCCTGCTGAGAATAAGGTGAGAAGAGAGGAATGAGATACACACTGGAGTAATTGGAGTTTGACCCCCAGACTCTGGGTATAGACTCAGGCATAAATAAAATAGTTTTCATTTTTTGAGGTATGGTTGGTGATTTGTCTAAATTTTCCTGTCTCCATGGTGGATATCGTGGGGGGAAAGTTTCTTGGAGCATGAAAGGCTATTTGGGTATTTCTGTCCCTTCACACCATGCCCATCTGTATTTCCAGAGTCCATTATTCCCCCTGTTCGCTCTGTTGTGAAGGGTGTCACAGGAGGCTCTGTGGCCATTGTCTGTCCCTACAACCCCAAGGAAAGCAGCAGCCTCAAGTACTGGTGTCGCTGGGAAGCAGATGGAAATGGACACTGCCCGATGCTTGTGGAGAGCCAGGGGCTGGTGCAAGAACAGTATGAGGGCCGACTGGCACTGTTTGATCAGCTAGGCAATGGCACCTACACTGTCATCCTCAACCAGCTCACCACCCAGGATGCTGGCTTCTATTGGTGTCTCACCAATGGTGACTCTCGCTGGAGAACCACAATAGAACTCCAGGTTGCTGAAGGTGAGAGCTGACCTGGAACAGGTGGAGGGAAGAGGCTAAAGACCATCCTAACAGAAGCAGCCTCATCTTGTAGACATCTTTCCTGCTATGCCACCTCCATCCAGGTGGGGGAAGGAAGGACCTGCTTGACCAGAGGTCCCATTTCCATACCGGTGACCAGCACCCCATGTTCTTTCAATCATCACTTGTAATGCTTTCTAATATCAGAAATACTGGCCTCATTTGCAGTGATTAGATGGAATGTTGAATGTGGTTCTTTGTACTAAGCTTAGATAAATAAATAATAAATAAGGAAGAATAAGGGAGGCAAACAGAAGCCAGTGAGCAAAGCTGTTGCTGTACATCAAACTCTGGGCTTATGAGGTGCTCATTACTAGTCATTCCATCAGCATAGCCTTCTGCTTCTTGTGTGTTCAGAATAGCGTATTGCAATCCTGTCATCAGGGGGAATGCACATAACACACCAAAACCACCACTTTCCTTCCCCTGTAACATTTCCAAGTCTTCCTACTTCCCAGCTACAAGGAAACCAGACCTCGAGGTAACACCACAGGACGTGACTGCTACACTAGGAGAAACACTCACTCTCTCCTGCCACTATCCATGCAAGTTCTACTCCCATGAGAAATACTGGTGCAAGTGGAGCAACAAGGGCTGCCACACCCTGCCTAGCAATGACGAAGCTGCCCGCCAGCCCTCTGTCAGCTGTGACAAGAGCAGCCAGCTCATCTCCATGACCCTGAACCCAGTCAAGAAGGAAGATGAAGGCTGGTACTGGTGTGGGGTGAAACAAGGTCAGGCCTATGGAGAAACTACAGCCATCTATGTAGCAGTTGAAGAAAGGACAGAGGGTGAGTCTCCAAGTAATCAGTGCCTGCCCCCACAGCACCCCATAACAGGACTTATCAAAAGCCCCAGGCTAGAAGCTTCTCCGTCAGGGTTAATCCCTGGGTTTTTCTATAAGAGGGAAGGAGGAGGGAAGCAAATGGTAGAGGCTTTTCTGTTTAATCTCAGTATTAAAACAAGTTTCATACTTGTTTTAATACTGAGATTAAAACCCTCAAACGAGAGTGAAGCCCGCTCTCCATCCAGAAATCCAACATATTTCAGAGCCACATTCATATCCATACATTTTATTCTCCTGCATCTGCACAAGGCTGCTCTCAAAGAATGGCTAGGTACCTACTTCTTGATCAAGAACACTAAGGCACAGGGCTGGGGGTATTGCTTGGATTAAAACATGTACTTAGCATGCACATTACCCTGGGTTTAATTCCTGACATCGAAAGAATAAAGAAAAGAGAAAACATTCAATGCAAAATTGTCTGGTAAGTTTCTGCTCCTAGCCTGTTTGTCACATAGATGTCTTGTATGATGAAGGCCTTTTAGCCTCTGGAAATCTCAGGAAGCCTGAGTGCAGCAAGACAGCTCACTAGAAGCCATTGCTATACTGCTGCCTGGAGGAATAGCTGTCTCACTCTACTCCTGGGACAGGATTTTGATGCTGTGAAAATCTCCCTTTCAACCTGTTGTCTCAGATCCTTCACATGGAAATGACTTTGATGACACAAGGGTAGAAAGTGGGGTAGAGGCAGCCGTGGTCTGGGAGCAGTAGAAGTTTAAGTAGTGTCTGGAGATCTAGAGAAGGTCATCACTACCACGACTGGTGCTAGTCCAGAGCGAACCTCAGTAGCTTTGAGCTCTCACCCTGTGACCCCCCCCCCAATCCACATAAGAACACAGAGGAAAGACCATGACCATCTTTGTTTGCTCTGCTTCAGGGTCACACAATGTCAGCCCGACAGATGCTAATGCACGAGCAAACGTTGCTCCAGAAGAAGAGGTCACCGAACCCAGGGTCAACGAGAATGAGAACAAAGCCATTCTGAACCCCAGGCCTTCTGCAGAGGAAAGAGGAGTAGAGAATGTGGGAGACCAAGCTCCTGAGAACAGAGCATCTGTGGATGCTGGCAGGTGAGTAGACTCCCCACCCAGACAACGCTCCAAAGACAAGGCTCGAGTCTGGACACTATAACCAGATAGCAGAGTGTGAGAGAGAACAGAAGATGGTCAGCTCTCACAGCCTTGGCTTATGCTTGGCAGCGGAGGGGAGGGTGCACAACCCTTCTCTCACGGCTAGGACAGCCTAGTTCAATAGCTCTTGCCTGGAATATAGAGAAGGCCAGGTCCTTGTCTTTCCAGTTCAGGGTGGGGGTGAGGCGGTAGTCCTCAAACTCTGTTTCAGTTGAAAATTGCATAAATGGGAGTGCTGGGCATGGTGGTATACGCCTGTAATCCCAGCACTCAGAAGTCAGAGGCACTCAGAGGCAGGTGGATCTCTGTGAGTTCAAGGTCAGCCTGGTCTATAAAGCGAGTCCCGGACAGCCAAGACTACACAGACAAATTGTCTTGAAAAAACAAAATAGAAAAAGGAAGGAAGGAAGGAGGGAGGGAGGGAAGGAGGGAGGGAGGGAAGGAGGGAGGGAGGGAGGGAGGGAGGAGAGGAGAGGAGAGGAGAGGAGCTGACATAATCCCTCTTGTAGTGCTGATGGACAAAAAGGGAGCTCCAAAGTGCTGTTCTCCACCCTGGTGCCCCTGGGCCTGGTGCTGGCAGTGGGTGCTCTGGCTGTGTGGGTGGCAAGAGTCCGACACAGGAAAAATGTAGGTGAGTACCCAGGATGTTTCCCACTCCACCTGCAGCTCAGCTAATCAGCTAAGTGCCTGTGGTATAGCCCATTCTATTCCTCCATTTCCCCATCGCTAAAGACAGGGCACTAAAAAACTCCTTAACAGGGCTTATTTAAGCTGGAATGGAGTACTGTGAACTGAGTCACAGATTGGCAAAGGCCATAGAGTTTTGACTACCCAAGAAAGAGTGGGGGGAGTCAGACTATTTTTGTTTTAATTTAGAGGTAAGCATCAAAAGGTACCATTCCTTGGTATCCCATGGGCTGAGGCCTGTGGCAGGTCCTCTCGGGGAAAGCAATACACCTTACTCTTTTTACCCATGACCCTACCCCAACACCGATTCTTCTGTCAAACAGATCGGATGTCGATCAGCAGCTATAGGACAGACATTAGCATGGCAGACTTCAGGAACTCCAGGGATTTTGGGGGCAATGACAACAAGGGGATCTCTATAGACACTCAGGAAACAGTTCTCGAAGGAAAAAATGGTATGTATTTTGAGAATGCCCAGGACTGGGGAGAGCAGAACTGGAACTGCCCATATCCAGGAAGGAACAGAGATTGGATAGGGCTAAGGATTCTCTCTCTCTCTCTCTCTCTCTCTCTCTCTCTCTCTCTCTCTCCATGCAGAGATTGTGACTACCACTGAGACTGCCACCGAGCCAGAAGAATCCAAGAAAGCAAAGAGGGTAAGGGAGAAAGATGTGCCACTGCATGACAGGGAATTCAACCTGCAGTTGGACATCAGGACAAAATCACCCCCACGTGGAGGCTGACCCATCCCCCCAACACCTGCCCCCAACAGGGGAGATAGTAGAAATAGAGCATTCAAGAGGGCTTTCTGAAGACAAGACAGGGCCTTTGGCTGAGGATACTGACTGATATAGTTGAAGCTTAATAAGGAGGGGAACTCAGTTGTAGGCTGTGAACCTGCAAAGGATGTGGTGACAGGCAGAGGTCACATGTTAACAGTGAGGACCGAGTGGGTGGGCTTCCTGAGCCGTGGGGCCCTAGGGCCTTTCCATGGGTCACACACCTGGCTTTGAGAGTTTCCTGAGGACTATACTTTCTCCTGAGGCTGGAAGACACTCATTCATAGTGGGAATCTTGGTCATCCCTAGAAGCCCTTGCCCACCCCAACCAGGATAATGAAACTCCAGAAGAGGCAACTCCTGCCATTGGGGTGCAAATCGCCCTCCTTTCTTGCCTTCCTAATGATGCTCTTTTTCTTCTAATCCTGGGGCACTGATACTTTTCACTCTATCTGCTCCTCCTTATATCACTAAGGATCATGCAGCAGCATGTGGAAAAACTTCCACAATTAGGATGTGGAATGAGTCCCTGACATCTGCACAGTGCTAACATGCTGCCTCTCTAGGGTAGTGGAGAAAGAAAACACAGGACACCTTGGCTGACAACAGCCTGGGCCACCTTGCCTGTGGACTACACGAGCATAGCTCCTGGGGACAGGCCCATGTACAGAGGGTGTTCCACCCCACTTTGCATAGGGGTGTAGTGAGACAGTGCAAGATATTTTTAGAGACTGCAACTTTCCATTTCTCAAAATGTATCTCTTCCTGCTGAGCATGGAGGGTAGACAAAGGAAGGTCTCAGAAGTGTTTTGCTCTAGCAGAGATGGTGAACTCAGAACATCAAGTGTGTGGCCTTCTTCTCACCTGCCATCTACTAATGCCTCTCCTATTGTTCCCTAGTCATCCAAGGAGGAAGCTGACCTGGCCTACTCAGCATTCCTGCTCCAGTCCAGCAACATAGTTGCACAGGTCCACGATGGTCCCAAGGAAGCCTAGGCAGTACTGACTGCCTTCCCCTGCCTGTGACAATCACATCAAGAATCACACTGATCTGTTCACAGCCTGCACTTACCCATCACCTAGGCTTTTCCCTCCTGTTCTCAGAGGTGTACTGGTCCCTTCCTCAGTCATCCAAGCCTGTCCTAATTGTGTCCATATAGGAGAAGGTGTGAGGAGTTCTGACCTGCAGTTTTTCTGTGAAAGATTAAGGTAGAATAAGGAGCCAAACCTGAGAGACATCTCTGAGAAAAGAGGGTTGAGAGTAGAAGCTCATCTCAGGAGGGAGAGCCAATTGAAGCCTCTTTATACCCATATGATGGGATGTCAGTGCAACTCTTCTCTCCTCCATCTCTTCTTTCCTCTCGTCTTGATTCAAAAAACACAGCTGAATCCAGGTGCCTACTAAATGCTGAGAGGCAGGCCATAACCTTTCTATAAACAGCACCGGAAAAGACACCATCTCCTCCCAGGTTCTGTCTTTTCACTAACACATAACATCAATACTAGGCATACTTCCTGCCTCTGTACCTCATAAGCAACATAAGAAACTCTTGTAGTCTTAGGCATATGCAAGCCATAAGGATACCATTCCCAGATGGGAAGAGATTTTCTCTGGAGCACCCAGTGAGATAAACCAGTGTCAAACCAGATTTGGCTACTCCTGGCTCTTGGCCTGGGATTTATCTTTAAGATCTCTGCTGTTATTAGAGGGAGAACTTTAGCATGATGAGAAGTGAGAGGAAATGAGTTAAATGGGCATGGTGGTGTGCATCTGCAATCCCAGTATTCAAGAGGTAGAAATAGGATCAGCAACTCAAAGCCATTCTTGGCTACGTAAGGAATTTGAGGCCAGCCTGGGATACATGAGACCTTGTTTCAAAGCATAAGGAGGAGGAGAAGAGGGAGGAGGTGGAGCTTTCCCTGGTCTCTTCTCTCCCCTTCCTGTCATTCATGTGAACCTCAGATAAGGGAACAGATACTCTCAACCTTTTGTATTTGGAGAGTTTTGAGCATACAGGAAGAAGATGGAGCCTGGGAGCAGCGATTAAGACTGTTTCTGAGCTCTGCACATCAACCAGCACCTACAGGCTGAAACCAAGAAATCAGAAATGTCCATTAATAATTAAAGTCTATGATTGCCATCAAGGAGGCTCAGATTGCATTTTCCCCATACTTTAGCTCCTACTTTATGTGCCCCAGAATATGTGTTCAAACCACCATAAAAGCTGAGCTGAAGAGGTCTTGAACATAATGCCTTTGGGACATATGCCAGCTAATCTACTCTTCCTTGAGCTCAGTCCTCCTATGCTCTCTACTTGGGCCCCCAACTGCAGTACTTCATCCTAATTCCCTGGCCCTGGCATAGATCAGAGTCTTGGACTTCCTCCCAGCAAAAAGAAGCGGAGAAAATGATGAGGGGCCAGTTCTCTCTGTCTCTCTCTCTCTCTCCTCCTTTGTAATATCGATGCAGAGGTCGCGTCTACGGCGATGATGAAAAGTCATCCCAGAAGAGGTACAATTAATTGTAAGCGTGCCACTTGTTATCATACCGCTACTCTCCTCCTGTTTCCACCCTCATGCTGTGCGCAGCATCACTGAAGGGCTCTTAATACGACAGAAGTTTACATTGTATCAATAACCAGAAGCCCAGTCCTAGGCCTATCACATGACCTGCCCCAACCCCTGCACTCAGAGGCCAAGAAATGTCACGAAAGCCACAGGCAATGTCATATTATTCCTGACTTGTTAATAGGTGATAGCAAGTACACCACACAAAGCTCACCCACTCCCCCAGGGGTCCTTACTGGAAGGGAGCTAGGTCAAGGTGGATGAGAGCTTTGTTAGGATGGCACCCAGCCCTGTACAGTGACAGACAACTGTGAGGTTGATGGTGACAAACAAATCTGCAAGGACCATCAACCATTCCGAGAGTTACTTAAATATCTGATAACAAGAACACCTTCCCTGTGTTTTCAAATTATCTTTGAAAGGCTGTTACATAATAGTTCAACTGTGCATTAACAAGGTCTACATAGCAGTTTTGAGACATTTGGTATAGCAGTTGATTTTACTTCATAAACTGAGAATTCTTAGACAAGAGCTGTCAGAGACGAGGAATGAAAACGATCAGAATGTGCTGCAAAGAGAATGCCCAGCAGCGACACACAAGCGTGGGTATGCCTTACACACCCCATCACAGAAAGCCTGCACAGCAGAGATGAAGCTGCAGCGTGCAGGCAGAGAAGACTCCCTTACAGCCCATTTCAGGGCAGAAGACATACTGGTCTCATTTGTCTGAAGCCATCATCCCACCTCCAAAGACTGCAGTAAAAACTACAGAGTGGGTAGGAGGAAAAGTGTCCATCCCAGTCAGCAAGAGCCAGGCTACTATTTTATGCTAGTGCATGTTAATTTGAATTTCTAATACTTGCTTCGGTACTGTAGTTACCTAGTTGCTTTAGTTGCTTAGTTTTTCTCTTCTGTCTCATCTAAATAGGCTTTTATTGGCTGTCTTTTCTTTTCTGAACCTATTTTAGAACATTTTCTTCATTATTTCTTATTACTCTAAAACACACTTACCCTCTTTTCAAACTTTGTATTTTTTCCTTTTCCATTTCTTTTACTTCTTAATTATTTATTTCCTCCCCCTCTTATTTCTTAATTGTTAATTTGCTTAGCTTTAAAACCTATTAACTATGTTTTTCCAAGTCAGTACCCTAGTGCTGCTGTCTTTGAACCCTCCTGAGAACACAGGGAGGGGCCAAGTGCCCACTGTGGCAAGTTCACACCAGGAGTGCCGCCAAGCCTTTGTGCCTGTTGCTGTATCCAGCATCTCCTCTAAGTAGTTCGGGAAACAGAAACACAAGCAAAAACAGATCACCAGAGGAACTTGAAAAACAAACAAACAAATGAACAAAAAGTATTGGAAAAGTAAAAACAAACAAAAAAACAGGGACCACAGTCATCTGAAAGAAGTGCAACACACACACACACACAGAAAACAAAACAAAACAAACAAACAAACAAAAAAAAAAACAGCCACAGGATCACAGTTCCCCAAAACCAGAAACCAAAGGCAATGATAGATGAAATGCTGGAAAAAGTGTTTCACAGTCCTACATTTTTTAATTTATATGTGTGTGTGTGTGTGTGTGTGTGTGTGTGTGTGTGTGTGTGTGTGCTGTGTCTTCACTTATACATTCGAAGAAGGAATAAGAGGGTTGTGAGCCACCATGTGGTTGCTGTGAACTGAACCCAGAAACTCTGGAAGAGCAGCCAGTACTCTTAACCACTGAGCCATCTCCCCAGCCCCAAATCTACTTTTTAAAGAATTGATAACTATGTAAAAGACTCAAATAAGCAGAAGAATGAAGTGAGGAAATCAACACAGGACCTACACACTCTCTCACACACATATACACTTAATATTTTTTTAAATCCCCCAAAAGAAAATATTCAAATTAATAACACACTAAAAGAAAAACTTATTGACAAAATCAAAGGAAAGAATGAATTTTATGAAATGAATAGTTGAGAAAAGGAGAGCTAGGAAAGAATCCATCATATCTAACACTGTCAGGAAAACTCTAAAAGTAACAGGAGACAATGAACAATATTCTAATCAACAGAAGAAGAGCTAACAAAGCCGTAGGCACTAACAAACATCTCCCAAAAAACAACCTTTGACACAATAGCCTCAATGATCCATTTAAAGAATCAGACTATCTGAATTAAAAAGCAAAATGCAAGTATCTGTTGTCTCCAAAAACACATACTCATTGGCAAAGAACCTGAGATCAAACGATCAGAATGCACTTGTCAATCAAATGAAAGCTATAAACAAGCTTCCTCAGCTATTTTGATATCTAATAACGTTGGCCTCAAACCAAAACTATCAGTGAAGAGATAAAGACAGCCATAGGTGGTGTCTGTGTGTGGGTATGTGCAGGTGCCATGTCCAAAAAGGGTTATCAAAGCCTCCAAAACTGAACTCAGATGGCCCTGATATAATAACAGACAGTACTTCAGTACACTATTCTCATGTTTAGCAATATCATCCAAATTAGAAACTAACAGAGAAATTTCATAGTTAAAGTACACTATAGATGAACTATATTCAGCATGTATCTCTAGAAAATTCCATCCAACAGTGAGAGTGGCTTGGTGGCCTCTTTATGGTGTTGGAGGTTGAACCCCATGACTTTGTACATTTAGAAGACTCACTCTACTGCAGAGGCATACCCTCCGCCTGTCAGATTCAGCGCCGAGTGTTTCGGTCTCTCCAGTCATTCCTGCTTTCAGTGCTCAGACTCTAACTCTTTTTAAAGATTGATTTGTTATTATTTTATGTGCATGTGTACTTTGCCTGCATACATGTATGTGCTCACAAAAGTCAGAAGAGGCTGTTAGACCGCCTAGAACTGGAGTTACAGACAGTTGTGAGCCACCATGTAGGTATTGGGACCCAAACATGGGTCGTCTGCAAGAGCAGTAACTATCTTAATCACTGAGCCATTGTCCCAAGCCCCAAATTCTTTCCTTTTTTTCTTTCTGATTGCAGAATGTATCCACAGCTTTAATGAGCACCTATACAGATTTCTTTGGGGCAACACATTTTAATTAGCAGAGAAGAAAAAAATCATTTCAGTGGTATTTTGTAGTCAACTACATTTTTATTTTGCTCTCCACAAAATTTATTTTATTAAAAATTACAATTTATTCATCTGTGTGTGGGTAAGTGAGCATGAGTGCAGGCGCCCATGGAATTCAGAAAGGGGCATCAAATCCCCTGCAGCCGGAGTTACAGATGAGCGTCTTGACGTGGTGCTATCTGAGAGCGGAAAGCATTTTTTAATTGAAAATGATTTTCTCATACAATAAATTCTGATCACAGTTTCTCCTCCTCCATCTCCTCCAGACCCTCCCCACCTTCCCACCCAATCCAACTCCATGCCTTCTTTACCTCTCTTTAAAAAAAACAAACAGGCAAATTTAAACACAAAAGGAAAAGCATGACACATCCAGGCACATGCACACAGACAGACAGAAAGACCAAACACAAACATGCACAAAACTACAAAATCTGAAACCATAATGTACAAGCAAAATACCACTACGTGCTTTTTTTCCCTATGTCAAAAGTAATGTGAGCCAAAACAAAAGACAAAAAAAAAAAAAAAAAAACCTCTAAAAACACCACTGGGTTCATTTTATGTTCGTCATCTACTGTTGGTTTACCCAGTTAGACACTATTGGAAAACAAAACAAAAACAAAACTAATTTTTTTCCTTTGCAAGTGTTTGTCAGCTGGAGATGGTGTCTTAGGGAGTTTGTGTGCATTTTCCCCTCTCAGCACCGGACCCCATGTGGCTTAAACCTGCGCAGGCCCTGTGCATGCTGTAGTTTGTATCTGAGTCAGCCCTGCTGTGTCTGGAAGACACTGTTTCTTTGGAGTCATCCATCACCTCTGACTCTTACTGTCTTTCTACCTCCTCTTCTGCATAGCTCCCTGAGCCCTGAGGGGAGGGTTTGATGGAGACGTCCCATTTAGGTCTGACTGAGTGTTCTCTGCACATTGGCTAGTTGTGGGTCTCTGCATTAGTCAATGTTAACTGCAGGAAGAAGCTTCTCTGATGACGGCTGAGTGAAATCTATACAAATAGCACAATGAAATGAGGAGTCGTTTTATTTGAAAGTTCCTTTACTTGGTTTTCCCCACAGTCCATGGCCTATCTAGTCTTAGGTGTTGGCGGCCAGAGCAGTGTCAGGTAGAGGCTCCATCTCATGAGTACCCTTTAATTCCAGTCAGATACAGGTTGCTTACACCACATTACTTGTGCCACTATAGCATCAGTGTGTCATGTAGGCAGGCCACCATTGCAGATCAAAGGGTCTGTGGATGGCCAACCTCTAAGTAGCCCCCACAGACACTAATTCTTGCTTTTATCCTCATATGACTGGCAGGCTCAAACACACAGCCAATTCCTGAACTTCATAATTATGCAGAAATTACATACACATAGACATAATAATTACATATACATAATACTAGCCACATCATGTGTCAGAGAACACAGATCACATGCCTACCCACTACACAGCACCTACTTATATATGACATGCTGCACATTTGCACAGGATAGTGATCTTGCACATTCACAATACGCTGACATCCACACTCTCTCACACCCACCATCACACCTAGCATATTCACTCATAGCCTTCCTCTTCCTTCCCTCTCTCCTTTCCTTCCTCTCACCCACCCCAGGACTCTAAGGTAATCCCGGTCATCTAGCCAAGAAAATGGAGAGCCCAGCTAGCTGTCTGAAAGGTGTAGGCCACTGCAAAGAGCTCTCTAGTAGGGAAGAGTGGACACTGATCCTAGCTGAAACTGCTCTCAGTAGGCCACTCGAAGCAGAAGCCTGAGACTGCCCTCTGACCTCCTGGCTTATTTGTTTCCTGAAAGACATCACATGCCTTGAGCTAGTAGAGAGAGAAGGGGAGGGCAGGGCAGAGCAGGGCAGGCAGCCCAAACCCACACATTTCCTCTTTCCTCTTCCTCTGCACCTGCTCTGAGCTCACATTCAACCTCCATGGCTGAGGAAATTGTTGTGTTTTGGAGAGCATGTGACAAATGTGGTGTGTGGGCGTGAGTGGGGAGTACTGTGCAGGCAGCCAGCCACCCATGATCCTAAAATAGTGTGGGCACAAGTGGCTGAGAAGCCTAGGCTAGGGGTCCTGGGACCTGCTGTCAGCCAATGAAACCCCCCTGAAGGAAAACCTGGGAATCCTCCGATAAGTTACAGCTTCGTACATCTAAAAGTCCGTAAAGCTATAAAGCCCACGTTAAAGGGCTTTTATAGCATTTCCACATCAGTGATTTGTGCTGTGCATCAGGCAAGTGACCAGTTCTAAGTTACCAGTGAGAACACAGCCTCGGGGAAGCTTGCCCAAGGCTAACTAACAAGTGGGAATCTTGGTCAACCCCTCAGGCATTCTGTCATGAGCTCTCAAGGCCTTAGCTGCTCTCTTCTCCATCAACCGCCCTCATCCTTGCCACTGGGTGTCCTGAAGAAAGGTTCTATCTGACTGCTGACACTCCAGGCAGCAGTTACTATGTGACTTGTCACATCTGACTCTTAGCATTGTCCTTCTGCTTACTGGAGAGTGACTTGTGTCTCTGGCAGAGGGAAGCCCCCTTTGGAGACTGCTGTGCAAGAAGGAAGACTAAACGATAACAACTGCACTGGGCAAACTGTGGCTAAGATCTCAGAAATGCTGTCCTGCATGGTGGGTGCCAGAGGTCATGAGACCTCATCTCCATTTGTTTTTAGATAAATAAAGTTCAGAGAAAAATAGCGAATTGTTCAAAATCCTTGGTCAATATCACTACAAATAGTAGGTGTTCACAAGTATTCATCAGAGGCATTAGCTGGTGACTTTCAAAGCCAAGCTTTGGTCCACAAAGCCTTTGTTGTTGGAAGAGAATTGGTGATGAGGTTTGTTGTCCTGAAGATGGAGAAACAACAAATGACTCTAGCTCTGAAGCAATCGATTCATATAAATCCTGGCAGGTTCCCCTGAGAAGAAGGGCCAAAGCCTGACAGCTGCTCTAGCCTTTAGTCTCTTAGAGGCCCCTTGAACTCTAGTCACTCATTTTTATGCAGCACATGTTTTCTCAACTCCTGATTTCTGCTGTGGTTTGCTGGTGTTTTTCTTTTTAGACAAAGGCTACTTAGCAAACAAGACAGACTATCATTTCCTCATTTTGAGCCCATTGGAGGCCAGAACCTCTTTCAAGCACACAACTGTAGAAGGTTCCCAGATGATTGGTGTGCCTCCAACTCACTCCAGAGGCTCTTGGATGGGATCTGGCCACAAAGGAACCATGGACCTTTGGCTTTGGTTACTTTACTTCCTGCCAGGTGAGTATAAGGGGGAAAGAGTGCAGACGAGGCTTGAATGCACCAAGGGTAATCAATTGCCAGTCATCTCTACCTCTAATGCTTCTGGAGAGGTTCAGTTGCAGCCACGGCACAGAGAAGAAGGGTAGCCATCGTCCTTACCACTCATGCAGCATTCTTCCAGACTTCCATCCAGGACAGTTGTTAGATTTTTAGGGATTAAAGGTGTAACATATGTTAAATATTCACTTATTTATATAGGATCTGAGGTTTGTTCTTTTTGTATCTATTTTCTCCTTCTTTAGCTTTTTCTTTTTCCTCTCTTGAATTAGCAACTTTCAACTTCAAATGAAGACTTCCTAATTGCTTCCCTGAACTTCTTATCTCAACTTACAGCCACCTCCCTGGCACCCCACTTGAATGACCACCGCGATCTGGAACATGATGCACCCAGGGCCTTGCCTAATGTACTCTACTGGTTGCCATATGAACCAACCAGCTATTCCATTTGTCCTAAGTGTCTCTAACATTATAATGCCATTCAATGGCACCCACTGTCTACCAACTTAAATGCATCCTTCTCCTTTATACTCTAAGCTTATGGTGCTCCCCCATACCTTGTTCTAGCAAAACAGGACTCTTATTTGAAGAAAAGCTTCAGATTCCTGCTACATGCCCTCTGTCAGGCTGTCCCAGCTATGGCACTATCCCAGTCTACCTTTAGCTGGTTCTTCAAAGTCCATTGCAAACCTATTTGCCTCTTAGTCATTCCTGAGCTCCTTCTGAATTCCAGTCATAATCCCATCATATTTTAGCCCAGTGCTTATCTTATTTAGTTTATCAATAATATCTCCTTTGGGATAATTAAGCTTTATTGGGGACTTGAATGGATTGAGAAATGCTGGGGTATTAGTCAGACTTGGAAAAAACTGAGGGGAAAAGACCCATCTTGGCTGTGGATTGTACTATCCTATGGGCCAAGATCAGTGACAGAATAAAAAGAGAAAAAAGAGAGAGCCTGCAGAGCACTGGAATTCACCTTCCTCTGTTTGTTGATCCCCCCCACCACCATCCCACCCAAGATAAAATCAGGCAGATTTATGCTTCTGCTACCACAGCTTCCATACCATGATGATCTATACCAGTTCTCAGGGCTCCTAATGCTACAACTCTTCAGTACAGTTCCTCATGTTGTGATGACCCCCAACCATAAAATTATTTTCATTGCTACTTCATAACTGTAAGTTTGCTACTGATAAGAAAATGTAAAAATATGTGTTTTCTGCTGGCCTTAGGCGACCCCTGTGAAAGGGTCATTTGACTCCTAACAGGTCGCAATCAATAAGTTGAGAACTCTATACCCTCAAACTATGACCAAATCCTCACTACAGTTTCTTTTTGTCAGGTATTTTGTGGCAACAATGTGAAAAGTAACTAATATAGGAAATTGATACCAAGAAGTAGGGTTACTGCTGTGAGAAATCTGACCTTGTAGTTTATAGGCCTTCAGAACTAATTTCAGGAGGAATTCTGAAACAGGTGGATGATCTGGAGAATGTCTAGAATGCTATAAGTAGAAGTTAATCTAGCCATTCTGGTGAGAGTACAAAAGAACAGAATGGTAGAAAGGAAGGAAGGAAGGAAGGAAGGAAGGAAGGAAGGAAGGAAGGAAGGGTGAGAAGGTGGGAAAGAGGGAGGAAGGGAGGAAGGGATGGAGGAAGAAAGAAAGAAAAAGAAAAGTGGACAACAAGGACTACTCACAGGAGAACAAGGAATCTTTCAGAAATTGGATCAGGAGTCATTCGTTTATGTTATACAGAATCTGTGTGCCTCCATAAGTTGAGTGATCCTGAATTCAAATGGACTAAGTTGTTTGAGAGAAGAAATATAAATGTGGCATAACAGTTGTACCATGGCATGGTTACTGCTTACTATGCTTGTCCAGATTTACAGTGAGAAAGAACAGAAGTGTGTGGAAAATGTGCTGCTGGGCAAAGAAAGGAGCATGAACTCAGTTAAAGTTGCAAATAGAGCAGACAAAATTGGTCCAGAAAAAGCAGCTAGAATTCTTTAAGAGACTGGTGCAATTAAAAAGTGTCTTAGTTAGCGTTTTTATTGCTGCAATGAAACACCATGACCAAAAAGCAAATTGGGGAAGAAAGAGTTTATTTGGCTTACACTTCCACATGACTGTTCATCATCAAAGAAAATCAAGACAGGAACTCAAGCATAGGGACCTGGAAGCAGGAGCTGATGCAAAGGCCATGGAGACTTGTTGCTCACTGGCTTGCTTTTCATGGCATGCTCAGCCTGCTTTCTTATAGAACCAACGACCACCAGTCCAAGAATCGCATCGCGCAGAATGGGCTGGGCCCTGTCCCACCAATCACTGATTAAGACAATGCTCGACAGCTTGCCTACAACCCAATTGTAAGAGGCATACTTTGAACTGAGGGTACCTCTCAGACGGCTTTAGCTGGGTTAAGTTGACAACTAGCCAGCACAAGGAGAAACCTCAGATTTTGCAATGGGACAATAGGAAAGATACATTGAGCACAGTATTCCACCTCTCAAACTAGAGAGTGAAGCAATGCAAACTCATCTGACAAACTTTCACTTGAAGAGAGAGAACTCAAGTAAATAGAATCTTCAGGGCATGATGCTAGAATAACGCCACTTTGGGAAGTGTTTTCCCCGTTTTATCCTTAAAGAGATAGAGATCCTGTTCTAGCTGTGGTCCAGGGCCACACTACATCTTGAGCTTATCCTAGAACTTGGCACTGTCCACCTGCAGTTGCGTTTGCAGATGTGCAATATATGAGAGTGAAGTGGTCATGAAGGCCAGCATCATGTTTCCAAACAGGCTGTGAGGCAAAGTGTGGCAGGGCTGGATTTTCTATACAAAGATCCTGAAAGGGCACCTGTGTAGATGTAGGTGTGAAGGTGAAGCAGTGAGGACTTTAAGATGTTGGAGGTTCCAGGAACGTGGGAGATCCACATCACTGAGGAAAACTGTAGGTACCAAGTGGAGCCTGCCCAGAGAGGGATCACAGGTGCCATAAGCAATGGAGAAGGAATATATGGGCTTATCATGATATGAATATACAAAATATTTCATCAATAGTTTACTATTAATCTTGGTTTTGTTTGTTTGTTTGTTTTTTAAACAGGGTCTCCTATATCCCAGGCTGGGCTTTAATGAGCTATGTAGATGAAGATGGCCTTGAATTCCTGGTCCTTTTGCAGAGGATCTCAAGAGCTGGAATTAAAGGCATGGTCCACCATGCTTAGTTACATAGGACTGGGGTACAAACTCAGGTTTCTGTGTGTGCTAGGCTAGCACTGTAGCAACTGAGCCATAATCCTAACCCTTCATAATAACCTTGAATAACTAGTCTGTATGCTTTTTCTTGGGGAGGCTTTATTTGTTACCACTGCCTTTGGATCAACAACTATTGGGGTAGGCTTGGCCCTGGCTCTCAGTACAACTATAGACCACATTGAATGGAGCCCTTGGGAAGTTCCAAGGCAGTACTGTTAAAGTTATTTTTATAAAACTGTGTTTGTTTCTCAGTTTCTCTCTTAAACAGCATCACACAAATAATTGAGACTCTTTTATAAGTGTTTAATAATAAGTTTCACAACACAATAACTGGCCAATTACTACTCTATTCTTAACCGTCTAAACTAATCTGGGTTCCTTCCAGCTTACATCCCAGAGATAGTGTTCTTTGTAGCTTTCCTGCTCCAGCTCCTTCTCCTGATGTCTCTTAGACCTCTGCCGGAGGCTCAATCCTCTACTTCCTCCTCCAACTCCTCCTTCCTTGGCTGGCAGGAAGCCCAGCCCTATTCTCGCTTCTGCTCAGTGATTGGTTGTAGGCTACTTTATTGGCATATCAGGGGACAACTGGGAAGGAGTGTTTATATAACATTGAGAAAGGAGATTTTCAGAACAAGAATTGCAACCAGATATAGAAGTACAGAAATCAGCATTTGAATTACACAATAATCTTATGCCTACACAGTATTATAGGATATGGGCTTCAAGTCTTTTTACCTAGACTACTAATAAGAATACATACACATATTGTGACTCAGCACACACACACACACACACACACACGAGTGAGAGAGAGAATGGAAGTTTTATTCTTTGAATTTTTTATTATATGTATGCCACAGCATGAATGTGGAGATCAGAGTATAACTTTGGGGAGTCATTTCATAGCTTAAGGCATATCTACTTAAGGCAGGGTCTCTCATTGTTTCTCTGCTGTGTTACATAATTTAAGTTGGACTATGAATTTTCAGGCAATTCTCTTTCCTCCACCTCCTGTCTTACCATAGGAGTGAGGGGATTACAGACACTTACCTGGCATTTTACATGGGTTTCAAGAACTGAACTTGGTCTGTCAAGCTAGCAGTTTTAGCCACTGAGCCATCTCTCTGGACCTCTAGCAATTTAATCTGAGCTTTTTCTGTCTCTTCTTCCCTCTGGCATGTTAACATAGCTTCAACTTTCCAATCACATTTCCTGCTCATGTTTTTTTCCACCTCTCTATTCCTCAGTACTCCCCTCTACCAGAAATATCCTAATCTAGAAGCCCTAAACCCATTGATATTTTGATCTCTTAACTCTCATTTAGCTAAGCTCATTGGAGCTATTCAGAATGTACAGTCTGTAGATAACATTTTCCTGACATGCTCTCTCACATCCCCATCTCAATACAGCTTGTTCTTGTTATCTGAAAGACCCTTTTCATCTCCACCTTAGCCCTCCAGGCCATCCTAAACACAAACATGCACACTCTACCCCATCAACTCTTACAATGGTTTAAATGAGACTGGCTCCCATACGTTCATATGTTTGAATGCTTGGTCCTCATTTGATGGAACTGTTTGGGAAGGATTAGGAGATGTGGCCGTGTTGGAGAAGGTGTGCCACTGGAAGTGGGCTTTGAGGTTTCAAAACCCCACACCATTCATTTGCTCTCTCTTTCTGTCTTTCTGTCTGTCTCTCTCTTTCTTTTCCTCTTCCTTTTCCTTGTGGATCAAGATGTAAGCATCAGCTACTACTTCAACACCATGCCTGCCTGCCTGTTGCCATGCCCCCATCACAATGACCATGGACTCCAACCCTCTGAAACCACAAGCCCCAACTTAAATGTTCTCTTTTATAAGTTGTCTTGGTAGTGGCATTTTGTCACAGCATTGGGAAAGTAACTAAGCCAACCCTCTTATTATATGGAGGCATTTGCTGGGACCCACTTACATTGTTATCTGTGGCTTTACCCTCTCCTGCAGCTGGTTGGATTACACTACATGATCCTCCTCTTGCTTTTTGGTGTCAGGGACTTGCATCCCACAATTTCCATTCCTCCCTGATCTATTTTCCTCCCAGATACATGTATGCTCCTACACATACTGTGTAGTCATGCTCATACATCCCCTGCTTTCCTTTCCGTGAGTTCTCCACACTAGTGACCAGTATCACCTTCTCAGGTGTCCTACATGCCCATTTATTCAGGGTACATCTTTGGTATCACTCCTCTCAAAGGCCTTTCTCCTGGGACACCATTCCCTCAGTAGCCTGAATCAGGTTCTCCTGCTTGCTCCTTTCAGGGAGCCCTGAGCTAGCTTTCCCTTGGAATCTATGTCATTGTGCTGTGGTAGCTATCTGTTGGTATAATTTACTACCAACAGATAATTTACAACGTAATTTATTGTTTGAAAGAAGGGTACACACAAAAAGGATCCAATGTGCACAGGCAGATTGGGTTAATGGAACTGAAAAGAGGATTAGATAGATGATCAGGTTTGCGAAAGAAAGAAAATTCAGAAGGAAAATGTGCTATGAGAATGTGTCACCTTTCTCAACCCCATACTGAAGGCACTTGGAGGTTGTGCGTCATTGGGGTCATACTAAGCATACTATTTCTCTTTGAAGTAGGCACTGTAGTCAAGTCTAAGTCCTTACAGTCTCAGGCTTACTTATGAGGCTGAGGACATGGGATGGGCACAGAGTAAGCCCAAATGACAATAAGACATTGAAGAAACCAAGCATGACTCAGTAGGCAGAAATCATGGAAGGACTGAACCCGGATTGAGGACAGGGATATGTCTAGATCTATGGGTGAGTATGAGGGTGTTCTGCGGTAAGTCTAGGTTTGGAGAGATGCATGAGGCTGAGGATATGGCTGAAGTTGAGTTATACCTGAGAATGGCACTTGTTCTGCATCAATGTCTTCTCCCGGCAGTGTCTGGGTCCCTGAAGGTCCTCCCAGAAGTGCAGCTGGATGTAGAGTGGGGAGGATCCATTACCATCAAGTGCCCACTCCCTCAAACACCCGTGAGGATGTACCTGTGCCGGCAGATGACTGACCCTGGAACATGCACCACTGTGGTGTCCAACCATTTCGTTAAGAAGGACTATAAAGGACGTGTCACCCTAAAGCCATGCTTGGACAAGAAGCTCTTCCTAGTGGGCATGACACAGCTGACTGAAAGTGACAATGGAATCTATGCATGTGGTGTGGGCATAAACACAGACCGGGGCAAGACCCAGAAAATCACCCTGAATGTCCATAATGGTAGGTGTTTAGAGAGCATTCTCAGTTGGGAAAACAGACCAGCATCTAACTGTAATCATGCTGTGCTGTTGCCGTATCAGCCAGCCCACTAACAATGCAGATCAACCCAGCTTGACTTCACAATTGGCCAACACCCCAGCCTAAAAACTTCTAGCCACAGGGGTGAAAGGAATCATATGGATGCCGTGTGCTGCCTGTCTTACCCCAGGGCATGAAGAGAGGAAGACATTAGTCAGGGGGAAAGATTTGAGGCTAAGGAAACCAAAAGAGGGGCTGTAACTCTCCTAAGTGTTTATCTCATGAGATGTCCCGGGTAGATAAAAATGAACGAACAGCACTCAGTGATCAAGCTGTATCAAGTCCAAATTCGTTACTATATTGTCAGATTCTTCACTTCTTCTTTACCCTGACTGTTCCTCTTTTCAGTGACTTCCCAAGGCTGGTTCTGCAGCCTTGTGGTCTTATAGGGAACGCTGCTTGTGCTGGTGGGAAAGGCCAGCTTCTTCAGGGAGACCCCATTCCCAGTTCCCTTTCTGTTTGTTTCCATGGACCATATTCATCTTCTCATGGCCTTGGCTGAGTCAGCTTCTACTTGAACTTCCGTTCCTCTCTCCTCCCTGGTGATCATCAGTGTATCCCTCTTGCCTCCAATAGAATACAAACCATTCTGGGAAGATGAACCAATATCTGAGCCTCCAAGATGGTTTCCCAAATTTCTGCAACCGATTCCCAACAGGCACCAGGTGGTTGAATATGCCAGTTCTTCTGAATTCATATCCAAAGGTCAGTCATCAAGTCAAGAGTGGGAGAAGAGAGAGAAATTCTTGTTCAGCTCATAGGGTGGCTGGCAAAGCAACCCCATGCTTTGTCCTTGCCTTGAGAGAGGACCTTCATCTGACAGCTAGGACAAGAGGCCCTAGTTGAAGGAGTCACATATCACCATCAAGTGGCACCACAAGTAACAAAGTGCCCAATTCACAAACCCCAGCTCCTTTTTGAATGACTGGAAACCAAGCCTGGCCAGACATTTCCCAGCGGGAGGTCATCATGCTTCCTGCTACCAGCAGGGATCTCCTGTACCTACCTGCTGGTAGCTCATGGTTTTAACAGCTCTATTTGGCGATTAAAATATGACTATCTTGCTAGCATTTCCATTGCATCTTAACATATACCAGATGAGTTAGGTACACTAATTAAACATGGCCACACTAGGAGACCTGCTGGGGTCAAGAGAGACAGTGGAACTGGGCAGATCACAGAGGCAAGAGTGTGGCTGACAGGGTGGAATAGGAGAGGGTAGATGAGCACAAAAAGGCAGAAGACAGTATGGCTTCCTCCTGTAATGTCAAGAAAGGCTTCCAGGAGAAAGTGATATTTGAAACAAGCATGCATGAGAATTTTGTGTGTAGGTGGCATGCTATAAAGGCACCTCAGGCCACAAGAACAAAGGCAGTATGTATGGGCAAAAGGGAAGATCTGATTCTGGAGCCTGGAGAGCACAGGATATCACTAATGTAACCTTTGCCTTCTCTCTTGAAGTTACCACACAAGCTCCAAGGACTGAGGCCCTTCCAGCTCACCAGCCTTCCAGTATGGCTCCAGTGACCCGCCCGCCCAAACTTTCCAGAACATCTTTAGTGCTATCAACTACAGCTTCAAAGACCTCAGCTCAACAAGCACTTGGCCCCCTAGTGGCCAGCTACAGCCACCAAACCAGACTTCCTGGGCAAAGGTAGGAGCCTCTGAGTTTGGGCCTGTGGTACTAAGAGCCCTGATGTCTGTCATCCTGCACTCTTCTTGGCTTCCGCTCCAGAAGTCTACCCAGAAACACTCAGTTTGTGAGTGTGCTTTATACGTGCATTCATCTCATCAGCAAAGAATATGCTTGGTTCTGACCGTATAGAAAGACTTGGCTCTTTCAATCATACAGATTCGTTCAGTTCTGTTATGATGAATAACTACATGAGAAGAGTTTTTAATTAACTTAAAGTAATGAAAATTAATTACCAATTAATAAGTTTTAAACTTTATCTTTTTTCTTTTCCTTCCTAGTGCTGCTAACACAATTTAAATTCCACATACAACCATGTTGTCTATTGCTGAGCATTGTCCTAAATATCACATTTCAATGAACCACTAGGGGGCATCATTACTGGAAATGTGCAGGAAAACCCACAGATATTTTGCCTGAGCAAATACAAACTTGTGATCAGAATCCTTTGAATCCTATTAGTGAGGGAACTGAGGCAATAAATCGATATGATTTCAATGAACACAGGATTCTTGATTCCTATCTCAGAAATCCATGTAATAAACATTCCCTTAATGTCAACTATGTGCCTGCCACCAGGAGTGTCTTTAAGATGTTAAGAAGATAAAGAATGCAATGTCCAGGTCTGGTTAATGCAAGCCGACCCGTAAAAAGGTTTCTCAAGAAGAGAACAGGAGCTGTATCGGCTCCTGCTATAAACCAGATGCCTTCAATTCTTTCTACCTCCTTTGTTTTCGGTCCTAACAGTTTTGTGGCAGGTTTTATGATTCCTATTTATAAGAAAATAAGGCTCAGGTAAATTAAGACCCAAGACTACACAGCCAGTAAAATGAGAACCTGGAATTTGAACCAAAGACTCCTGACCCCATAAACAAATCTCTTTGTGGGGTGATGGAGGAAATCTGTTAACAAAGGGCCAACTCTGAGTCATCTCCAAAACCAGGTGGCCACACAAGAGGGAGTTTAAATTTAAATTTCCTTTCCTCATTTACCTTCTCTGTTTCCCTCTCTCTCTTTCTTTCCTGGTCAAGAACACCCCGCCACGGCCCACAGTATGGGAGAGAAGACCGGGGGCTTCACATCCCCATCCCAGAATTTCACATCCTGATTCCGACCTGCCTGGGCTTTCTTTTGCTGGTTCTTTTGGGACTGATGGTAAAAAGAGCCATGCAGAGGAAGAAAGGTGAGCCACGTGAGGCTCTGGGCTGTGGCTGGGAGAGCGGACGTACCCAATGAGCCCAAAGCATTCAGATTCAGCTTGGACTCCCAGGGAAACAAGGGACACGGAGCCTAGGAGGGCGTTACCCTTCCTCCTGCGCTCTACACTCTGGGCATCCATGCACAGGCCACACATTGCCATGTAGCCCTCAGTCTGGGGAAGAAGAGGCCGGTGGCCACCGCTCTTTCTTATGCCATGCCCTTCTCTCTTCCCGGTGACTTCCTGAAGCTTTCTCCAGGCGCGTGGGCCGAGTGGCGATGAGGATGCGCGGCCGGGAGGCGTCCCGCCCCGTCCCCTCACAGCGCCTGGGCGTCCCGCAGAGGCCGCGCTCGCAGAACAATGTCTATAGCGCCTGCCCGCGGCGCGCACCGGAACCCAACAGCATGGGTGAGCGCACACAGGAGTGAGGCGTGGAGACTGGCGCTAGCGGGGCACCAGGGACAGGTGGCCGCCAGGCCTGGAGAGGACGGGCCCTCACTGCTTTTTTCTGCCCCATAGGTCCTGCGGAGGCCCCACTCCTCAGCACCCCAGCCTCAGCGTGCCCTGCCCTGCCACAGGTAAGCGCCACCTTCCAGCCTGCTGCGGGCTCTCAGCTAGGCAAGCGCATTCCACAGACCAGGGTTCCCCAACCGGTTGTTCTGGTCCCTAGGTTAAAGCTTTCTGGTACGTGACTCCCCAAGATCCTTAGTTCCCTGGTCCAGGCATTTCTCTCCGGATAAAGGAATGCTTTAGTCTAGTAGAGGAAACCTGACCCCCTGCTCAGATGTAGCCCATAGGCAGCTCAGTCTTCCCTAGAAAGGGGAGAAGAGAAAGTCTCTGACATGAACTCGGTTGCCTGCTCCTTGATCACTTCTTCCTGGTGGGGCCACCTAGCCAGCCCACAGGAGAAGAGGATCCAGCCAGTACTGATGGGACCTGATTGGCTAGGGTCAGACAGTAAGGGAAGGAAGACTTCCCTTATCAGTTGCCTAGTGGAGGAGGAAGGAGGGTGAGTGGGACCAGGAGGAAATAGGGGATGGGGGGCTACAATCAAGATAAAAAGTGAATAAATTGTAAATAGTAACAGTAATAATAATAATAAAGAGTAGTTACCCCCTGCGGTGACTAGGGCATAAAAAGCAACCTAGGTTTCTAGAAAGCTAGAAGGGGTGGAAGCTACCCCAACAGTTTTACCTCAGCATGTGGGAGGCCCTTCTAGACAACTCTTAAAATGACAGGAGGTAATAGTAACGGGGCCATTAGGCTTTATCTAAAGTGACTGGGCAGAGATACAGGCATTCAACATAACAGGTGTATTCTTTTGTTTCCCCAAATCAAGGAAACATTCTCGAAGTATTCTCAACGTGTAAACCTTTCGGTTTTGTAGTCAGAAAAATATTAATAAGGACACCAAGTGTACGTATGTGTGTTAATTAATGTAAACTAACTAAATACAACAGACCCCAGGCTCAGGACAGGGAAGCCAATTTTCCTCTGAAGTCAGGGTTCAAACCAGAGGGACAGGAAGAAGTGGCCTCATCCACGAGGTCATGCAGGGACATTTTATTCCAACAACTCCAACCAACTTTCCTGCTCCGTGGTCAATACTCAGCCACCAGAGCTAAGTCCCTTCCAATTACAGGGACAATGGCTTCTTTAGGACTATCACCCTGAATTTTCATATCTCACTTCCACTTGATTCCCATTAGCTGTCAGGAAGTCATGGCTGCCTTCAAGGGAGTCTATGAATGTCATGCCCAGCTGGCAATATATTGATTTAAATGATCATGTGTTACCCAGCCCTGTAGTCACATCCAGCCCTCACAACCCTTGAACCCCCCGAAAATAAAAACAAGAGACAAAACAAAACAAAAAGTCCTCAAGGCTTGGGAAAGAATGGTCCAGCAGAGCCTGTCTGCTCTACCCGAAAGTCAGCCTTTTATTGTGGATCAGCCCTATGTTCACACAAACCCTCTTCTGGGCTGCCCTCTGCTGAAAGCTAACCCTGCCTCCCTCTGAGGCCCTCATTCTCTCTATTAGGGTAAAAATAAATAAGTAAATCTAGATAGGACACATGTGCTCATCAGTCTTCATAGTGAATATTTTTATTGCTTAAACCCAGTAAGTTGACATTCAGAGGGAGATGTGTTTTTGAAGCAAGCTTTTGCTGCTCTCTCTTTGGTTAAATATAAAGTGTAGAAGTTCTTTTTAACGGATGCTTCCTGCATTCAGAGGACGGCCCTTCTAAGTCTTGGAACTTTCGTTTAGATGACTGGCCACAGTCTGTGCCATGCTATACTCTGTGGGTATCACAGTACTTGTGCCATGTTAGAGTCTTGACATAGCCTTGTCTTCTGAGAACTAGGGAGAGTCCTGAAGAGTCTCTCAGGGGAACAGAAGGACCATAGTGCCCACGTGATCTGCGTTCTTCCTCCCTCTGCTGCCCAGCCCTTTTCAGGAATGTATTCTTTTGACATGTCATGGTTTCTCCAAGTTCTTACAGAGGTATAAGAAATGATTCACCCTACCTCCAAGTAGTTACCTGAGAAGGTGCATATTTTCTCATGAGTCATATCCTTTTATCCTCAAGGATAAAGCAGGTTGGCCTCCATCACATTCCTGCTCAACCCTGATTTCGGTCTGAACCCCCATGTAAAGCATATCCTGCCCAAACTATAACGAAGTGGCTTGCAGTTATTTGGGGTGAGACTGTACTCTGAAAAACCCCACGGCTGACCTACTTAGTGGAGTTCAGCCAAGTCTGCATCTTTGTAGTCTCAGCGACCATGTCTATGATCCTTCATTTCCTGCAGTGGAAATCCACCTGAAAAGATCCTAAAAATGACCCAGCCAGAGCTAGTGACCCTCTTTTGGTTGTTCCCAGGTACTGGAAGCTCCTTGGCCCCATACCCCATCTCTAAAGGCAAGCTGTGAATACGTGACCTTGTGCCACCAGCCTGCCGTCAATGTGGAAGATTCTGATTCAGATGATTACATCAATATTCCTGGCCTGCCTCACCTTCCCAAGGTCACCCTGGATCCCAGACCTTCATGCCAATGAATCCTGCCTGTCTGCTGATTTCCAGCACCTTTCATGTCCCATACCCCAGCTTGAATCTCACCTGACTACCTGAATGCCTTAAGAATGATAAATTACAAGCTTATTAACAACCCAATGAAGGCCCCAGCATTCATTGGAAGATCTCTGGACATGCAGAGCATTCATTTGTCATGATGTCACCTGTCCTTTCTGTACCATCCAAAACCTATGGGACCTGCAAGATGCTTCATCACTATTTATGGTTACATGGTCTTTGTGGCTTTATCCCTAGCTCATGTGGCATCGGGCTAGAATATAAACCCAGGACCTAGAATATAAACTCCAGCACCTGATCCAAAGGGCAGAATGAGCTTCTGTTTTTTTTCCTGAGTCTCATGGCAAGGCTGACTTGTTAGATATGATGGTTTACGTTGTTAGTACTAGTGATATACACATGCATGAATCCTCTTTAACTCCCTGTCACTTGGTAGAGGTAACCTGACTCCAGCATCCTCCCGCCTTTTAGAAAGTCTTTGTAATCTCCCTAGCTCCTTCTAAATCTTAGTACCTTAATGTCGATCTATTTTAGCTATCCCAAAATGTTAGCTCTCTCTGTTTTCAGAAATATACCCATTCCCTTGTCAATTCCAGACAAAACATAGCAAGGCATGGAAGGAAAGCACTGTGGGGAGCCCACAAGGTTGGGGTACCTGCTTTAGCACTTTGGAAGAGAAGACACCGCACCTGTACATGCACTTCTTATCTGAAGTTCAGAGAAAGGTGCAGGCAGACACTTTTTGTGTTGATATTAGCTGTAACATTCAGCCACAGCTTGTGGCACAAGAATGGCAGCTCTTGCCTTGAAGAAGAAAGCCTTTTCTAGAAACACAGCATAAGCCCCTGGATGTTTTCCTAGACATAGAATGGTGTGTCTACCTGAGTGGAGTTGCCTTTCTTAGCAAGGAATGTTCTCACAGATTGAACAGTGCATCCAGGTACAATGTCACCAGCAACTTGACTCATTATAGTAAACAGACAAGGAAAGAGTGGTAGCAGAAGAAAAGAGCGGCACCTGGAGAAACAGGGCAGTGAGATGGGTGGGAATCAAGAGATAAGATGGAGTGTTTAGAATGAATATTGTGTTGGTTTAGCCCTATGGTACCTTTCATCATTTATTCTTCAAATCAGTGTCTTTTGCTGGAGCAACAACCCAGTGGTGAAGAACACTGGCTACTCTTCCAGAAGACCTGGGTTTGATCCTCAGAACCCATATGGCAGCTCACAACTGCCTTTAACTCTAGGCCCAAGGCATGTGACACTCACATCTGGACTCTAGTGATATTGCATGCACAGACATACATGAGGAAAAACACCCATACATACAAAAATAAATAAAATCTCCAATCAGTGCCCTTTGTTTCCACCCTAGCACTCTGTCCCTGCATGATTTCCATGCACTAAAGTTCAGTTTCATATCCCATCATCACTCTTTGTTCCCTGAAAATCCAAAAGCCACAGACAAAAAATGAAAACCAATGCAGTCTAAATATTTACTGAGCAGCCTTCCACTGCCTCCATGCTGTGGCCAAATCACAGGCGATAAGGTGGAAGCATGGGGCTTCATGGAACTGCTGCCTTCATGGAACTTCCCTTCTCACAAATAAATATGGTTTCCACTGAGTTGTAATAAATATGCAAATCCACTTTGTGAGTTAGTCACAGCATTCAAAGGTGCCTCCAATCACTGGGATTTGGTCTGATGAAGAATAAAGTCTGAAGAGAAGGCTGAGCCAACAATGGGGTCCATGGCCAAAAGTCTGAAGTGCCCTGAGGATAGCACAATGGCTTGAAATGGCATGGAGAACAAATGATGAAGTTACCTTGATTGACAGTCAGAGCTGGTAGAATTTTTGTATCCAGGACAGGAGGATGTCCACTTCCCCAAAGGCTTTCACCAAGGCTGTTTCTGTGTCCATCTGCGGCAAATGGTCAGGTATGTTAACTATGACAATAGTTTCCTTCTAACCTGGCTGGCCTGAAATAGACCTGCCTCCAAATTAGCTGCATCACCTGTGGAATGACCTCTGGTAAATAGATCCCCCCATCACTTGTACCCCATGTGCTTGTTTCCAAGGTGAGGACAAAGAGGCCACTGAGTAGTAGGCAAAGGGCCAGAGATGATGCCTGGAACATAAGAACCAGGGGTTTAACCTAGGGAAGATGTAGTGAACTCACTAAGTGGGTAAGAAATGAGCCCGTGTTTGCCTTACACCATGTATTGGGAAACTGACACATCTGTTCCTCCATAAAGTCAAGGATGTTTTCTTGGAGCGAGAGGGCACTAGGGTTGCAATTTGGATTTTCTTTCGTGTGTTAGTTTGGAGAGATGTAATAGAAGTTTCCATATATTTTCCTCATAAATGAGTCCATTTGGACATTGTAGAAACGATGCAGGCGTGTTGGAGGGTGACTTGTCAAACTTTTTTCTCAATTCTGACATCAGGAACATGTGAAGATCTTTCTCTTAGGGAAAGCTCTCAATGATGAAAGCTTTGTAAGAAGATACAATAGCATTTCCACTTGAAAACTTAGCAGGGGGAAAAACCACTTAGGCTTATGCAATGCAAATGTTTATTTTTGCAAATATGTCTGTCTTCCAATTCTGATCAGGTAGGTTTGGGAACTAAAAGTAGGCCCAAAGGAAGTGCCTACTTTTGGTTCTGCTTTAGGTTTGGGGCACTCCCATTTGACACTTCAAGCTTGTCTGATTCTGTTAGGTAGGCAGGCTCCCAGCTCCTGGCCTTACCTGTTTGAATGCTCTTCGGAACACCAAAAACCGCTGATGTGCACTCTGACTAATAGAAGCCATGTCACTGTCCCTCTGTATATACATATATTAAAAAAAAAAAAAAGTATTCCTAAAGTTAGATCAGAGTGGAGGTTAGCTCCTCCTGAGCTTCCTGGTGAAACAGGTCAGGGTTCCCCGATCCTGCAAGGACTGAGCTGAGTCCTACACTTTCCAGGAAGCCCGGTTCCTAGCATATGGCAGGGCTGTGTCTTTCCTCACAACAGTCTGTCTCTATAGGTAGAGACGTCACCCCCAGTTTATAGATAGCAAAACTGAAGCCCAGAGAGGTTGAGCACCTTGCAAGGGTTCCCTGTCTGATGAGGGCAGATACAGACCTGAACCTATAACCTTTTTCCATGACACTCAGGACTCTTTAATGGGCTAACATCCAGGACTGGATAAATGGAGGGGCAGATTCTCAGCACACCATTTCCCAGGCTCCAGCCATGATTTACTCACACTGGGCTGCAGTTTTGACACGATAACAATAAAGTTGTTGGCCAAGGTGGAGAATGACTTCAAGTTCTTGAATTTGGCTATTCTGCTGTGGTAGTTTTTGAAAACGGTGTTCAAGTAGAAGTTCAGCAGACTGTGGACAAGGTAACAGCTCTCAGCATCCTGGGAAAGAAACAAATTATTGAGGCCTCTGCCAATCCTGGCCCTAAAGGGAAAAGCTATGTGCCCACCCAAGGCAAGATGAACAGGACAGGGTCTCTTTGGAAATGATGGTGGCACTAGATAGGTCTGAAGGAATGGCAGGAGTCTTGTGGAGCAGCTTGTGATCTGCAGCCAGAGCTGCAACCCCGGAAAGAAGTTACCCACCAAGGTGACTCAGCCATCCCAGATACCGGCCTGGTCCTGAGTACTCCTGGCTCACCACCCGTATCATAGTCCCTTTTTTTTCCACTATATGGCCTCATTAACATGACGGATCCTGAAAAGCATCTCCACTGCGACTTTGTGGTTAGAAGGAAATTGACTGGAAGGAGAAGTGTAAAAAACCTGATGCCCTTGATAACAGCAAGGGCTACCTGGCTCTTTCTGCTGCTGAAACTTGGCACCTCTCAGGGATCAGTCTGTTCATACTCACAGACCGTCTAGACAGATGGGAAGAAGATAGTAACAGGTGAGAGAAAAGAATGAAAGAGGAAGGCCAGCTCACTTCAGTAGATGCTTACTATGTTTCCATAACCAAAAGAAAGATGGTGGGCAAGTATCTAGCTTAGTGGAAAACGATGTTTATGATAGACTTCAATTTCTACCTCCCCATACCCATAGAGAAATAACCCCAGACAGAGACCCTACCTCTTTCCAGCTCTGCCCTGCATACAGTAACCTCAGGTCAGAAGGGAAGGACTCCCATGAACCCCTCTTGGAGATCTATCCCCTTCCCCACTGATTACCGAGACATTCTGCAGGACCTGTGGCTTCAACAGACGGACACTTGTGATGTCATCCTGAGTTTGCTTTGGTAACAGAAAGAAAAGATGCCTCCAGGTTAGGAATCTTTGTAAGAGCCAATCTTGTTGATATACTATCCCCAGCTCCAAAATTTATCCCATGAGACTTGGAGATGAGGACCCAGGAAGGGACATAATGAGCTAGATCTTGGGGGAGGGGTACAAGTCTGCATTACAGAAAGCCACTGAGCTTACTCATTCCAAAGGGGCACATGAACCCTCCACAGGTTCTTAGAGCCTGGCCACAGACTGGAGAAGAGACCTCTGCTTCCTTTGCTCATATGAGACACAAGGAAATAATCCTTCCAACTTTAAGACATATGAAGGGTCTGGCTCATCTCCACACTCCACATGGGAAGCAGATGGAAGCAGGGTGGTTGTACCTGGGAGCTGCCTCTTGTTCTGGGAGGACTCTTCAAAACCCTGATTCTCATCCTGCTCCTTGAACCAAGAGCCAAAAACCCACCCAGGATGAAGCTGAACCACCCAGGGGGTCCTTTACACCCTTTGGGCTCTGCTTCCTTTACTGGAGACTAGCCACGGATGACTGAGCTTCAGGGTCTTCACATGTAACATAGGGCATATTAAGTCTCCCAACCCAACAGAATGCTTATGTAAGAAACTGGTTAAGCAAATTAAAAAAGGATCCACAATCCTGAAAAAGTATACCCACACACACACACACACACACACACACACACACAGGAACCACTATGAAAGCACCCAGGGCAAGCCTCTACTTACCATAGTGTTCTTCACAGTCCAGAAGGCCTCCCACAGTTCTGAGAGAACCACCCCTTCCACACGGCAAGGTCCAAATCGGAATTCTTGACCCTGGAGCCCTGGCACTTGGTTCCAGACAAGGAGGATTAGGATCAGGCAGGGGAGAATCTGTAGTCCTGAGCTCATTTGTGTAGAAAAAAAAAAGGCCAGTATTCCTGCTGATAAAAGGGAGGCTTTACCAACCTGAAGTCAACTTCTGACCCCAAATAATGCTTTTGGAGATGGTACAGGCCAACCTTAGGAGCACACAAATGGGGCGCCTGAGGCTGGAGAAACGCTGTGGTTTGAATGCCTCACCAAAACTCATATTAAATTCATGCCCTCCTGTGAGGTCTGTAGAGGCAGGACCTTTAAGAGGGGTCAAGTCACCAGATCTTTGCCCTCTTGCATGCATCCACGAAGCCAGTGAAGCCAGTTTAGCTCTGCTTTGGCTGCACCTTCTTGCCCATGACACCATGCACTGTCTAGGACCATGCGGACTATGCCTTGGGACCACCGACCAAAACGACGGAACAATTATCACCTCTAATCCTTGCCCGCATTCAGGACTGTGAAACAAACATCTTTCCTTACTAAGCTATTCAGCATCTGAGGTCCTGTTAGAACAATAAAAATGGTACTAAGACAAGAGAGATCCCAGGCAAGAAAACTACAAACCTTGCAGGGTGCACTGGAGTGGAGCAAGGGTCTTTTCACACTCCAGCTCACAGCTGCTGCTAGGCCTCCTCTTTGTCCTCCCCTGTATTCATCAGCCTCCACACACCTGCATCTCCCCCGACCCCACCGTCAAACTTCTGACTACCAACAGAAATGAGACCAAAAGAGAGGAAGAAAAAATCACCCAGAAACACATCACGAGATTCGAAAGTCAGGAGGAGAAAGAGCTCGCTTCCACCTTTGACTTCTAGGACCTGCCTTTGAGTCACCGGGGCTGACTTAAGCTGGTCTATTTCTCCTTCCAGGAGGCAAGCAGCCCTGTGCTCAACACAAGGTAGCCCATGCCCATAGGGAGAGGCCAGAAGACAAGTCTGGGTCACACACTCAACTCTGCCACCTCAGTTGGCAGACTTTCTCCTAACTCTAAGAACTGATCTTTTCAGTAAGTGAAACCAGAAAGGTGAATCATTTTCAAAAGCCTTCTGTGAAGCACAAATTGGGAATGACTGCCTAACAGGCCCTCAAGCAGGAATCAGCACCGCGCCTGCCTCTGTGACTACCACAGAGAACTGTTTTCCAGGCCTTTCTTTCTCTTTGCTTTTCATCTCTCCTCTGTACTTTCCCCTGCCCCATTTTCTCTACAACCGTAAAAGAGCCTTTTTATTCACACCTAAAGAAGCTGTCTTCTGACCTCAAAAGGGCAGAGAGAGTCAGAGAAATTGGCTTTGGAATGAGTATTAACACCTGGGATAGGGAACAGGTACCCAAGGCCAGAGTCCATTGTCAAAAATCTTCTCGTTCTCTTCTTTCAAATGCCATAGGCTTCAAAGCTTCTCTTGAACTTCGCCCCTGGATCTCATTATCTCCTGCTCTTCCTCCCATCCATCCCCACTTCTTCTTGGTGTTAAGTTGGAGTAAGTATAAGCAACTTCTCATTCAGTTTTTTTTCCTTATCTAAACATCCACAGGGTTGATATATGCCAATCTGCCATTAACACCCCCTTCCCCCATTCCCAATCAAGGCAACAGCTTGATGCTTCAGGACAAAGGCTGTAGGAAGCCCCACCACTCACCTAAGGTCCTGAAGTGATGCTGGAGGCTGCTGTTTGAAGGTGGTTGGTTCTTTTTGCCACAGGTAAAGTGGGGCAAGTTCCCTCAGCAGCCACTGATAGACGATATTGTTGTGGGTAGAAAGCTTCTGTCTCAGCTGTGGAAGTGATTAAGGCTTGGGGAGCTATATATAAGGGGGATGGCAGGGAGGGGCAGGGGGAGAGAGGAATGTGGAGGAAGGGAAATTGGCTTCCGTAGAAAATTACTTCACCACTGCCTAGTCACCCTTTGCTCTTAGACAATGGCAAAGGTGCAAAAATCAGCCCTCAGGTGAGATGAAGTCTGGGACTGACTTCCTAGCTTCTCTGAACTGCAGCTCCTACATCTACAAAATGTAATACATGTAGTCAGCCTAGTGGCACATGACTCATCTCCCAGCACTTGGGAGGCATAGGCAGGGGGATCAGAGGTTCAAGGTGATTCTTGGCTACACAGTGAGTTCAAGACCTATCTGAATTACATGAGTTCCTCTCTTTTAAAAAAAAAAAAAAAGGGTCTGGTCTACTTTTCCTAGAGAAAAGGTACAAAAAGCAATACAGAAGTACTTGTTAAATTCTCTACACTTCTAAACATCTAAACTCTGCCTTGCTATGCAAAGTGTACCCGTCTATTATATGGTATACTATCATATAATAGTGTGATGAGGCAGTAGCCCAGAGAGTAAGGCTAGCCCATCAAAACATTCCTTTAATCCTCAAGACCAGGAATTTTAGGATTTCCTGACTTGCAGCCACCCATAGTCTGGGGTTACAATCACTCCAAGTATATCTCTTCTTAAGCACTAGGAAAAGAATGTGTGCATGAACAGGCCTACAAATGTAGGGGACCCTGGCCCCTTGGTAAGCTAGCCCAGAACTAGGCTCCATGATAGAAGCACCAGTACAGGCAAGAGACATGACCCTATCTCCAGCTAGCAAGGTGAAGCCAGGGCATGTCCAAAGACATACCCAGAACTTGGGCATACAGAATGCCCACCTTGGAAGCACACAAGGAACAAGAGAAAGCACAGCAAGAGCAGTCACAGAAGCTGAGGGTATACTAGCCCCTCATGGGAACGGGCACTTCCCCTGAGAGCAGGACAGACTGAGAGGGCCAGTGGAGGGGTGGGGTAGCTTGATTCAAGCACTTGCTATAAGTATTTGCCCATATCCTGGAGGAACACAGTTTGGGAAACAGTGGATTCTGAAGTCAAAGGTTAGCAATCTGCAGGCTGAGGCCAGATCTGATAGGTCACTGCTCAGCTGCAAACATCTTACGTCATAAAAATAGCTTTACATTTTTTAAAAATAAATGACAAGAAAAATTAGAAGAAAAATAATTTGTGACAGTTGAAAAATGATGTGTGAAACTCCAGTTTCAAATATGTGTTAGTAGGACACAGCTATGCCTTGTCTGTTTGGTTGGGAAAGCAGCAGGATGTTAAACTGCAGCAAGTGAGACCAGAGGCCCACAAAGCCCACAACATCCACTCTGTGCCACTTTGCAAAAAGTTTGCTGCACTGTGCTGGAAATTACCTTAGGCCTGAGCTCAAGCAAAAGAAATGGGCATCAAAGCAACACAAGAGGCAGGATTACAAACAAGGCACAGACTGTTGGCAGAGCTGGGGATGTAATCCCACTGTGAGAAGACCACTCTTCTCCTCAGGGCACACACACTGTCCTGCTTATGTCTTATTCTCGGCCAGCAGCCTGCTCTGTTCCCCACTTGAGTCCTCTGTCTCTGGAGATACTTTCTTGCCAAAGGCAGAGACTCTATCACACTCCTTTTTCCCCCTTCAGGATACCAGTCCTCCTGTCAAAATAATTCAATAATTACATCCTAGTTGTGATTTTAAAACAAACAAACAAATAAACCACATAGCTCAGGAGCTAAAGCTAGGCCGTAATTTACTTTTTATTTATTCCCTACATGATTCTTAAAACCTATTTTCCATTTTTGGATGAAGAATCCAGGTTAAGAAGGGAAACAATAGAAAAGGAGGGAACAACTGGCCAGCCAGGGCAGGAAGCTGAGGAGCCCCGGTCCTGCTACTGTTCCAACCACCTGTTGATGGACTGGGAGGGCTGGCTGAGGAACCAGGTTGGTTCCTGGGCAGGCTGAAATAGTGGCAGAAGGCTCCATGATACTGGCATGGCTCTGTCTGTGGAAAGAAGAGTGTAAGTCTCTAATTTTGATAGCCCAATCTCGGGTGAGCCTGTCATCATACTATTTCCTGAGAAGGAAGATGAGAAGAGAATACAGAGGCCCTAGCTCAAACCCCTTGATTCTGACTACAGCCTCCAGCAATAGCAATCCTGGCTTCCCTGTGTGAGCTATTCAGATGCTCCCTCAGCCTTGTCCTCATTTCCATAACAGAGTTCCCAGTGGGGCTGGGAACAGAGTGGAGCACAGTCTTGCCCGAGAGTGTGGTCTATGAGCAAGCGCCAGCACCTGTTGATTGGACTGCACGGTACCAAGCCTTTTCTGAAGCTACTGAGTCAGAACTTTCAGTTTAAGAGACAGCTCAGGTGGTTCTCATTACATTTTGAGAAGTGAATACCTAAAGCCTCTGAAAGACTTGTCCCAGTGTCTTCCATGTAGAAACCATTTAGGGCCAAGGGGTCCAAACTGAGGGAGAAAGAACTAAATCAGGGAATTTGGTGGATGGTTTTGTCACTACGGCTCTGTTTGAGAACATGCTTTGGCTGTCCTAACTGGTGGATACTGCTAGCATGTAGTGGAATGGGCAGGCTGGAAGTGCTACTGAGCCCCTGCAGTGCAAGCCTCTTCCCTCTTCAGAGAGAATGGTGTCACCCCAAACACCTTAGAAAGCTGCAGCAGAACATTAGACAGTAAGTCTCCTCCCATTTCATTTCCCCTCCACGCTCCTCTAAAACCACAAAGAAGGAGAAGGGGACTCAGCCACTGTGGAGCTCCTCTCTGCTTCAGGAGGCAATAAAAACTCACTAACCCTGAACTTCCCCTTCCCAATGAGTGAAAAAACAAAAACAAACAAAAAACACCCTGCAAGAGGAAGGTAATGATCATGTAAATTAGAATTTCTTGAAAGCCAAAAGATAGGAGAAATTTATGTCGTTATTTTTCTTCCCATGACTTGAGCTTAGTCTTTATTTTAAGACAGATGTTTACCCCCCCTCCCCCCGATGGGAAAGCTCATGTGGTAATGGATGTGGGATGCCTGGACATCTTGTGAGCCCTTTGCCCTGTCTCTGCAGATTTAGGGCAAGAGGGCAAGTCTTTTGGATTTTTTGTTCAACCTCTCCTCTCCTGTCTTTCTAAATAGAGTTTCACTAACTTCTACAGGCTGGCCTTAAACTCTTAGTTTCTGCCTTGGGTTCCCAAAGGCTAGAATTACTATGATAACAGTTATGTGGAATGTTCACAAAAGTCAAATCTACAAGCCCAGAGAACAGACTAGTTACCCAGAGCTGGGAACGGGGGTAGAGTGGGTATGGGGAGGAATGAGTGCTAAAGAGCACGCTGTTTGTACTGGGGACGAGCAGAATGTTCTGGTTACAGCATTGTGATGGTTGCACAAGTCTAAATACATGTTAAAGCAATCAGATCCTACACTGTAACAGGTGATCATGGAGTCACCTCCAAGGTTGCTTTTCTAAAGAAATGGAGGGGTGAGAGGATGGAGAAAGGAAGGAGATAGACAGAAAGAGGAGGCTCCAATGGAAATGATATATATCTCATTCTCATAATCACTGGTGTCAATAAAAAAAAAGCCACCATTTTTTTCTTGTGTCCCATCCATTCTCCCCACCTACAAGTTACTTTTTAGATTCTCAGAAAGCATTGTTTTCCCTCTCTCTTGAGCTCCTATGGACAACAGCTGTTCATCTTTGTATCATCAATGTCATCCTTTAAGTCTTGAATTTTTTCCATCTCGGAATTCCCTTCTGGTATGTAAGTTTAGTCGGCACTGCTGGATGAGGAAACATATGACTGATATGACACCATCTCTTCTCTTCTCTGGCACACAACTCTTTTTTTATTTTTTATTAATTACACTTTAGTCACTTTGTATCCCCCCATAAGCCCCTCCCTCCTCCCCCTTCTTCACGCATGCCCCTCCCCAAGTCCACTGATAGCGGAGGTCCTCCTCTCCTTCTTTCTGATCTTAGTCTGTCAGATCACATCAGGAGTGGCTGCATTGTCATCTTCTGTGGCCTGGTAAGGCTGCTCCCCCCTCAGGAGGAGGTGATCAAAGAGCAGGTCAATCAGATTATGTCAGAAGCAGTCCCTCTTCCCATTACTATGTAACCCACTTGGATACTGAACTGTCATGGGCTACATCTGTGCAGGGGTTCTAGGTTATCTCCATGCCTGGTACTTGGTTGGAGTATGAGTCTCTGGGAAGACCCCTGTGTTCAAATTTTCTGGTTCTGTTGCTCTCCTTGTGTGGTTCCCATCCTCTCCAGCTCTTTTCCCACTTCTTTCATAAGATACAATGCACTCTGCCCAACAGTTGGCCATAAGTCTCAGTGTCTGCTGTGATAGTCTGCAGGGCAGAGCCTTTCAGAGGCCCTCTGTGGTAGGTTCCTAGGTTGTTTCCTGTTTTCTTCTTCTTCTTCTTCTTCTTCTTCTTCTTCTTCTTCTTCTTCTTCTTCTTCTTCTTCTTCTTCTTCT